AATACATTAACTTCAATTCATCATTTAATAAAAACCACTCAACATGATCTCAAACTCCTTTACAAATTGTAAATAATCAGCCGGGTTTCCATCAAAACACTGTGGTTCAAATTTAGGGAGTTTGATGTTCCTATTATCCCTGAACGGCGAAAGAGTAACATCAACCATGTCATGCTTAACATCAGACACATCGTTACAATTAACAGACAAGTCACCATGACTTACTTTCCTGTTTGTATCCAAGACGCTCTGTCCCTTCTTTGACCCAGGCATTGTTGAACTTGAGCAAATTCCAAAAATGTTCCAGATATTGCTTGATCAAAGAGGACTTGACCGGCACCAGGAAAAATGAACGGCGACTATCCAAACATTTACCAACTGTTTGAATCCAACAGATCTGTTTCCATCGTCAGAAACTGTCAATCACGTCTCATAAACCGTTAATGCCCAGCTCTCGCTACGCTCGGGCCCACGCTGTTCCTTGAAGATTTCAGAAACGCTTAGTTATAACGGACGAAAAAACCAAAACACCGATCTGCCGCTTGTTATTTCTTTATTGTTACACCAACATATAAAAAGAATAAGTGAACTAAGGTCTGAAAACAAATATTACAATAATAAATCATTGTATTACTTCTGACGATGTTTCACTCTTCTTTCTGAACAGCGACCGATGAGACGATGACTGTCGTATTGATGCCTCCGCAAAAATTGGGGAAGTTGATTTTGAGCAAACAACCTAGAATTGATCGTTCAATCTTCAACTCCATTGACACCCTCATAAAATCATGAAAATCTCGAGCCTTCAAATTGCATATTGCTGTTCCTGCAGAATGGGGCGTTTCACCTTAGTGACCACCACCATATCTACTGATCAGCTAGCACCACCCTCCCTCCTTTTTTGATGTTAGGCTCTGAGACTATGATTATTATGGCTACCGCAAATATATTGCTTGGTACCAGACATGTTCGTACCCCATATTCCATCTCCCTAGCTTTCTTAATGAGTGCTTCCAATAGGTCTCCACGTACATCTTTACGAACATATTATATATGTGTGCATGCATCCTAATGAACAGATTACTTTATAAGAAGTTAAAACCTTAAAGAGTAAAACGAATAGGTATTGTGAATAGTGGAGCAAGATTTAGCAGAACACTATAGTTAAGGTTCAATTTAGGTAGTATGGACTGAAGGTAAGGTCGGTTGGCAGGACTTAGAGTACTTATATATAGTAAACATCTGACATTGCAAAGTAACGTGTCTAGACATATTATAAAAAGATATTAACACAGAACCAACAAAATTTTGGCATTTTTAACAATACTGCAGTGTGTGTATACTGAAGAATGGTAGTTAGTCTACAGGGAGCCGTAGAGTAAATCAAACCATATATGATAAGAGTATAATCAATAATATAATTCGTATATCAAATAATACACTAGGTTCAATAATTGAGTGTTATAAGGGAAACAAGCGTGGTAAAGCAAGAGAACATTTGATGCATAAATATTTTAATATTTTAAGTATTTTAATGACCATCTAATTTAAGAATTGAACATGCATGATTAATAAGTATTATTATATTAGTATATACATATGTAAAACGTTAAAAGGTGTGGATGCTATTACAATTATTTCCAGTGTTACTTTCACCAACACAACTTAGTGAAAATTATAGAGAATAGAAATCAGTAAATTAGTTAACGTTCGCTGCGTGAGTATTAGAGTCGAGATATACGTATGTGACTATACTGAAGACTGGACTGGCCTTCAATTTCCGTTCTACCAACAGTTGTGGTCTTTTAGACGAGCTAGGGTGGACATGTTAAAGTGTCTTTCTAGGCTCCGTTTGAACCCATCAGGGTTTTCACAACATCTTATTTCAGGTGGTAGTTGGTTCCAAAGAGTGCAATATTTTATGGTGAAAAAGTTTGCCCTAATGGATTTTCTGTGGGTAGCCACCTTGACAAGGTAGTCGTGGTTTCGCAGCTGATATGATTTAATATTTTCCCACGTTATGGATGAGTTACTGTAGCAGTGTTTCCTAATGACTTTGAAGAGTAGAAATAGGTTGCACTTCACTCTCCTTAACCACAGAGGCTCTAATTTCAGACGTACACACCTGTCAACATATTCCACTTGTTGGTCGAACCCTATTATGCGTTTCGTGAGGAATCTCTGGACACTTTCGATTTTTTTTCTGTCTACAGTCCTGAGGTTACTAAATAGGAGAGCACAATATTCAAGTTTGGGACGGATACATGTCCTATATATAGCTAATCTTGCTTCTTGGGTGTAGAAGTTACGCAGTACAAAGCCAGTAAGTCGTTTACAGTCAGATACAACCTTATTTGCATGATCGGAAAAGGATAAATCTGAGTATGTTATCCCGAGATCTGTGACTGTGTTCAGTTTTGAGAGGAGCTTACCGTACATATATAGGCACATTATCGGTTTCCAGCGTCCAAGGTGGGTTATACCGCACTTGTCTGGGTTGAAAGTCAGTTGCCACTTTTCGCTCCAATCGCCTAGATCATTTAAGTCTTGTTGGATCTTGCTTTCGACGCTCATATCACCGTACCCATAATCATATACTATCTTGAGATCATCTGCAAAAAGGTATGGCTTGCCATACTTGATTACAGAGACTATGTCATTTATAAATAAGAGGAATAGAATAGGGCCAAGAACACTACCTTGTATTACACCACTGGTTATCGGCTTTGAGGAAGACAACTGGTGGTTGATTTTGACTAATTGCTGTCTTTCTGTGAGAAAAGAACTTATCCATTTGTGAAGATTTCCGGTTATTCCGTAGGATTGGAGTTTTGTTAGGAGTCTGATATGTGGGACTTTATCGAAGGCCTTGCTAACGTCAAGAAACAATGTTGTTACCGAACGCCCATTATCAATGCTTTGTGTAATGTAGTCAAAATAATCTAAGTGGCAAGTAATGCACGACCTTCTACTTAAGAAACCGTATTGGGATGGGGATAGTAGGTCATTTGACAGCAAGTACTGAATGATTTGAGTCTTAACTATCTTTTCCATTACACGTGAAACTACAGACGTGATGTTGATGGGGCGGTAGTTGTTGATATCAGCTATAGGCCCGTATTTATGGATAGGTACAATATAAGACTTCTTCCAGCAGTTAGGGTATGTCCCATCGCTTAATGAAATTGAGTATAACTTGAGTAAGAGTAAACTCATGTCATTACCACCTTTTTTCAGCAGAACGGAAGATATACCGTCTGGGCCAGTAGTGTTACTAAGCTTAAGATTTGCGACAGCTTTATCGATCTCATGTGTGGTGAAAATTATGTCACTTAAACATTCGTCTGTTTTACGTGGGAAATCCACGACCTCATCGTTCTCTAAGGTGTATAATCTGGCGAAGTGCTTGCTAAACAGTTCACATATCGCCTCATTATTTTCGTAAGCAATGCCGTCTAAGTATATTATTTTCGGATAGGGTGTTTTGGAGTTCATCAACCTACTTTTAAAAAGTTTGGCTATTTCTCCTGAGTTATGCGGTGCATGAATGGCCTGCATTTCTTTGTTTCTGAGGCCTATATTTCTCAACTCTTCAATTCTACTGAGAAGGGACGTTATGGCAATTAATGACGATAAGTCATGATATCTGTAGTATTTTATTGAGTGCTTACGTAGACTTCTTCTAAACGATGTCGGAATATAATCACTTTGGGGGAATCTTCGGCAGGTCTGATGCCTTCGGCAGTTATTCGATGTCCTGAGAATTCAATGGAAGGGGAACCGAAAATACACTTCTTTGGATTGATAACAACTCCAAATTGTTCAAACCTTTGAAATAACAGGCTTAAGTGTTCCATATGTTCTTCCATCGATGAGCTGGCAATTAAGACATCGTCGATATATACAAAGACGAAATCAAGACCTTGGGTAACTTGGTCCATAAAACGCTGAAATGTTTGAGTGGCATTCTTTAGTCCAGTCAAGCAATGTGTTTTCTGCCCTAGTACTCAAAGCTATCCCTACACCAGCTAATCCTCGTGAACTAGCTGTGGCATGTCCTGACACCCTCAAGGTGAATTTTGCAGATTCAACCTGTTGGCCAGGTGGGGTTAGGTGGATAACCATACTTGGGTCTTGTATGCGTGTTTCTGAAACACAGCATACATCAATGGCTCGGGATGCCAGGGTCTTAGCTAGTGATGCTTGTTGTCCTATTTGGCAAAGTGTCCTAACATTAAATGCTCCTATATGAAATTGGTGGCGTGGCTTTAGGAGACTATCAGTGGTGGTTTTTTGGCTTCCATCGTTTTCATTGGATGCAGAGTGAAGAGGAAGTGGAGAGCTATCAAAACGGGGAGTTGCATCAGTGGAAGGAAGGCAAGATGATAGAGATGAAGATGAAAACAAAGATGAGTGAGTAATGGAGAGGTTTTGTGTGCGTTTCGGATTGTTAGGGCGATTGTTACATCCCGGCTACCCACACCGTGGAAGTTGGTTGCGTGACCGCAGAGCCCAGTGGACAACTGCTTGGGGCCGGTCACATGCGGCCTGCTTTTGTTTTTTTTTTGTTGCTTTGTGTGCCTCAGTAGCATATTTATCACTCCTGCCCTGTGACACGGCAGCAGGAAGCACGGTCGTTGTTAATCCGGGCCACGGCCGACCTGGCATGAAATTTTGTGATTTTGTATTCATCATGATGTTGGATTGGGTAGCTGCTTTTTGTTTAACCGCTATCCAAACAACCTGCCTGGCATGGTAGGACCTCGAGAGACATGAGTCTCAGCCAGTATAGCTTGAATAGATCATTGCGGTGTTCAAGCCCGACCACCGTCAAGGTAGCAGCTTTCGGTCGGGTCAGATGAAATAATGTCTGTGACTTCAAGAGGAAAATATAAGAAAAAGGATAATTAATATGAAAGGGCTGAGGTAGGTATCGAGTCTTATTTTCTTAATCAATCAGGTATTTTTCTTAAGTAATCAGGTATTCTAAAGGCGGGAATTTTGGGCTTAATTTTACTCTGGTTAGTTCATGTAAACGTTACCAGTTGTCCGGGCTGCGTTTGTAATTACAGTTGAGAGGTTTCTCTTATCATTTACTAAATTTTTTTGGTCTTGTGTTATTCAAAAAAACAGTCTGACTAATTACTGCTACCGATTCAGTGCGTACACAGCAATCAAATAATTTAGGCACGTGTGTACATAATAGATTTGCAATTAACATAGAGTCATATATATATATATATAATTGCTTTGTAATGGGTAGGTCGGAGATGTGTTCTAGTGCATTGTAAATCCCAAATAGGTTGTCTTCTCAATATCTTGGAACTTTTACTTATAGAACCAAAAGTTTTTAGTTTCTCTAGGAAAGGAGTGTTGTCGTTATGTTGTTTTTACAGATTAATTAGGGATATGAAAGGTCCTGAAGGCCACTCAGCCGTTAATTTCGCAGTGATTTTATCCAAATTTTTCCCATTAATGTCCACTTCGTTGAGGTGTGCAGAATTAAAATAATTAATATATCTGAATTGTACAACTTTGGTTAGATGCTTTAATTCAGCGTGTGACAACTTCGAAATCTACTCCAATCAACTTGGTTCGTACAGCTACGTAGTGTCTTAAACCTCACAGAAGTGGTAAAAGAGTGATTAGTTTATAAACATGTCTAATGCACTAATTGCTGATATAATATCAGCTCAGGTATAAAAGGCTCGCTTGACATTTACCTGTAGCACAGACACAATAAACGGTTAGTCTTCTGTGTACTGTGTATTCGTTCTCATTGTCCTTTGAAAGCTGTGGAATATACACCTTAAGGGTCGAAGATTATCTGTTTTTTTATCTTAGGTGTTTGAGTTCAACTTCTCTTGTTCATTGGTGCATGCTTAATAATAATCAGGTTGGGAATATTTTTAGATAAGAAAAGGAAGTCAGTCCATGAGTTTGTAGAACTGCATCGATTGAGATGGCGAGAACGTCCTATGCATTCCAAACCATAGTTGTGGTCGAGCAGTATCATCTGACATGGAGTTGAGTTTAAAAAGTTAGGACTGGTCAAACCAAACAACGTATCAATTTAGGCCACATACTAAGAGTGTAGACTGCCTACCTACCTGGACTGTTAGTATCATGGATACCAATCACTTTTAGTGGCACAGAGACACTCACTCCTTGTACTTCTAGAAAATCGTTAACTCCTCATTCCTCACCATATACTTATTCTTTCTCCTGTACATTTCCATTTATTGTAATTTCATTGTATTTGTTTTCTCCAATTTTTTACATGCTTCTATGGATTGCAGCAACCTGAAGCACTGCTCTTTTGTGCAAAGTTCTGAGTTGGTAATCCAGTTTCAGTTCAGTTCACGTCTGTCTGTCTGTCTGTTTTCGACATAGAACTTTGCACAAATGTGCGGAAGTTCAAGTCGCCACACTCCGTGTAGCACGCGAAGCAAGAGAAGAAAGTATAAGAAAAGCATGATCGAAACAGTGAGCAGAGGGGTGAGACAAAGGAGGAGTAATAACGAAGAACAAAACAGTTTCATTGAAGATCATAAGTCACAGGGAGTGGATGCATCTGCGCCACTGAGAACGGTTTTGAGCCATATCACCAATTGTTTCCAACCATAGGTTTTTTCCGTCCCGAGGACCCCAGCCTGGAAGTCTACACCTTTCTACGTGGCTTAGACCAACTGTTGTGGATTTCATTGACTGATGCCAAGTTTTTGTTTGACCGCCGCTAGCTTTTTTCCAGCCTGACCCTATATCCGCTAACATAGCTCGTCGAGGGAGGCGATGACTTGGCATACGTAACACATGTCCTAACCATCTCAGTCTTTGTAGCTTCACGACTTCGTCGATTGATTTCCCCTGTTTACCTAGAACTCTACGCCTAACCTCCATGTTGCTCACCTTATTATGCCATTTTACACGGGAAATAGAACGCAGGCACCTATGATCAAAGACAGCTAGTCTTTTCATGTCTTCCACTCTCAGTGGCCAGGTCTCACAACCATAAAGGAGGACGGAGCGGACTGATGAGCAGTACACCCGCCCTTTGGTCGATAGTCGGATATCTCGTCTACTCCAGAGTCGGCGTAAACTGGCAAATGCGGAACGAGTGCCCTGTATCCGTGCTGAGATTTCGTCAGAGATCAGCCCGTTGGGGCTGATGGTACTTCAGTTCACGTCTATTTCATGTCAAATTTATTTCAGGTTATGAACAGTATTTGTCTGTCATATATGGTTTGGTATATGTGTAAAACTATTTGGAAGACAGAGAAGACAGAAAAAACTATAAAACTCAAGTTTCAAAGTCGTGTGACCACAATTGATATGATTATGAACAATAAATTGTGTTCGAAACGTCATCCAGTATACAATACTGTTTCACTGTGTGATACATTTAATAAACAAACTAATATGGAATTACTACCACAGTGCCCAAGTTTTACACATATATTAACTGTGGTAGTAAGTAATTCCATATTAGTTTGTTTATTAGATGTATCACAGTGAAACAGTATTATTTACTAGATGACGTTCATAATCATATCAATTATAATCACGCGACTTTGAAACTTGAGTTTTAAAGTTATCTTTGTCTTCTCTTATTTGTCGTAGGGGTAGTAGAAGTGTCCAGATGTCTGCGCAGACAGGTGTTGAGTCATTCCAATTACACGTATTTGCAGTTGATTCGGTGAACAAAGCTTCTGTTACCAATCTCTCCCTCCACCCTGTGACATTAGATTTTAAAACTGTCATCCTATACAATAGGATGAGATAGGATGACAGTTTTAAAATCTAATGTCACGGTGGAGGGAGAGATTGGTAACAGAAGCTTTGTTCACCGAATCAACTGCAAATACATGTAATAGAAATGATTCAACACCTGTCCCAGATATATAGAAAATTCTACTACCATTATGACAAATAAGAGGAGACAAAGAAAACTTTAAAACTCAAGTTTCAAAGTCGCGTGATTACAATTGATATGATTATGAACAATAAATTTTGTTCGGAACGTCATCTAGTAAATAATACTGTTTCACTGTGATACATCTAATAAACAAACTAATATGGAATATATGGTTTAGGTTGGAAGGTTTCATCATGAGCTGGCATCAGTTGTTAGAGAACCATTGCAAAACCACCAGGGACTACTGGACAGATGTCTTGTCTTAGTTTGGGACTCCTCATCAGTACGCACCAACCACAGTCCTTCAAACCTATGCTCTTCTGGTTACAAGACGAGTTCATAGACCATTAAGGCACAGGAACCAGATCCAACGGCCCATGAATTTAATTCTAAATGATGTCAGCTCATGATGAAACCTTCCAACCAATCAAACACAATTTCAACAAAACCAATACTTGAAAATATATAGTTTTTATTACTTAGGTTTTTTTTTGCTTCAGGTTTAAACTCGCCTAACTCTTGTTTTTATTTGTTCCTTAGGTGAACATGCAGAATGATAGATTGTTAGCTCATACACTCGTATTATCATCAGTTTCATCTCCATGTGGAAATTTTTTAATTTTTGGAACAAATACCCAAAAATTACTCATTTATTCATTATGCTCATTGTCTTGTGGTAGGTAGTGGAAAATTAATCTTTATACCGACAATAATAATTTTTTTATAGATGCACAAATCGAAGGAAAACCACAGTGTATAATCAATGTTAAGAAAGCAAAATCTATTTATTCATTATGCTTTGCTAAAGATTATGTATTTTGTGGAACAGTTGGTTTAATTATCATATACAAATGGACTTCACCAACTGATGGATTTTTAAAGTATTATGACACAGTTCATGTAACACCTTCAAATATGTATACAACTATTTCTGAAGTGAGATTGTTTATTTATTCATGTGTATGTATATTTTCTAAAGGTTACTGGCTTGACTTTTAACACGGAGAGTGATACATTATTAGCAGCATTGGGTGATGGAACTATTCATACCTTTTCTGTTGGTTGTGATATCAGAGAGAATTTAACACTTGTAGCACATAAAACGACTATTTACAAAATATGTAATGTTGGTGTGCATGAGGTTTGTCTTTCTCTATATCAGTTATTTCATATGTCTAGTTTAGTACGTGCTCTGAAGACGGTACTGTTTGCTTCTGGGATTATAGAGTATCAGCAAGTGGAAATTTTAAAGCTTCATCTATATTTAAACCTTATCTAATTGATGGATTGTCAAGACCTAAGCTTGGACCTTGGTTAACAGCATTATCATGTAAACAGGGTGAAGAGGATTGGTTTGTTACAGGTGGTGGTCCTCGACTTGCATTATGGAGTAGGCGTGCTGGAAGAAATGTTTCTATATTACATCCCGAAGGTAAGGTGTTCACTTATGATGTTTAATATCGTTACTGCCTATAGTAGGTTTTTATTTGTGTAGTAATCTAAATTACTGTAATCTTATTCATTATATATACCCCGTTGTTCGTAAATGTCCCATATCAAATAAAAATGCTTGATAGTTTTGTAACAGCAACCAAAACTTTCTTCTAATTCAAATGGTCGTTCTTGTTTATAGATTTAAGCAGTGTATAAATAGTTGTTTAAAAACATGGAGTGATGTGGTAGAGCATGTTGACCACTCCACCTATTTTGGAAGTTGCATCAGCCCTAATGAACTGATTGCTGACGGAACCTGAGCACGGTTACAAAGTGCTCGTGTGGCATTTGCCGACTTATATCATTTCTGACTTAGGACGTGGGTAGTGCACAGCAGTTTACTCTGTCCTCCCTTGTGGTTATGAGACATGGTTATTAAAAGTACAAGATGCTAAAAGGTTAGCTGTCTTTGACCACATATGTTTATATCCTATCTACTGTGGTAATTAGTATAATATGGGAGTGATATTGAAGTTACTCCGTAGTGTTAGGTATGGAAGGTAAGGCTATCAATGAGATTGTGAAGCTAGCTCGACTGAGAGAGCTAGAATTCGTGTTACACATCCTGATCCACAGCTCTCCTTGTCAATCAATGTTAGCTGACATAGGCTTAGATTGGAAAAGAGTTCGAGATGGTCAGACCGAAACCTCTCATCAGTCAATAAAGTCTTTGACAGTTGTTGATTAACTGTAGACTGCCGGGTTGGAATGCTCTGGTCCTTAAGATCCAATGACTGGAAACTACTGGTGACTCAGAAAAACTCAGAATAGTTCTTAAAGTGTTTTCTTTCATTCATTCTCTTTTGTCTACCCTGTGTGCTACACGGGCTGTAGCAACCTGATATGCTGTACTTTGTGTAAAATTTTATGTTGACACTCAATCTCGCTAATTTTAACTAACCACAAGCGTTATAATTGACTGGAACACTTATTTTCTAAATGTTGTTAAAACATTGATTAGAGCAGAGTTCATAGATCTTTCAGATAATGTCTAGAGTCGTACATTAAGAGCTGCAAATGATGGTTTAGTAAATACATGCCTGCAATTGTCTTACCCATTATCCACCTACAACCTGTGAGTCAAATCGATACAGTTGTACCACCAGAAGAAACACAAAGTAACTTTGCCTTTAAACTCCTGCAATTCGAAAAGGGTCAGTCTAATTAGATTGTGGTAGGTTTTAAGTGTAATCAGCAGTATATATTGATCAGAGCTTTACTTTGTGCTGATAGTTGTCAGTATCACAGTCTACATGCATTAACGCAGGGGATAAAATGTATTCGCAAAAAATTGTGAAACACTAAAAAGCTATTGGAAAGGGAGAATGACACGAACACTAAATACGGACTAACAGTGGAGCAGTCAAGTAAAATGTCTGTGGAGGATCAAATTGAGTCTATTCAAAATAAATATCTTTGGAGAATTTAGAACCACCTGTTTTGAGAGTTTGACATGCAATTCGGTTCTGTCAAATGTAAGATGATACTGTAGGACTGGACTACATCGACTCATTCCTAGCTTAAAGATAGACAGGAGTGAAGTGGTAGAGCCTGTTGACCACTTCACTTATTTGGAATTCGCATCAGCCAGACAAGCTGGTTGGTCACTGATGAAATCTCAGCATGGATACATAAGGTTCTTTTGGCATATTCAAGCCAACTACGCCATCTGTGACCTAGTAGACGTAATATCCGATTGGCTATCGATGAAAGGACGTGTGTAGTGCTCAGCAATTCTCTCCTACCTCCCCCTTTTTGGCTTTGAGTGAGAGATAGGCATTGAAAGTTGAAGACATGGAAGTCTTGTAAGCTGTATCTGCGTACCATCTCCCGTGTTAGCGGATAGGTGTAATAGGGTGAATAATATTGAGGTTAAACTTCAGTCGGGTGTTAGGTAGGGAAAGAAAACTAGTCGACAAAGTTGAATGAGATGGTTAGGCTATCTCTAGCAATCCATCACCTTCCTCGACAGCAGGCAGTATTAGCCAGTGATATAGGATTGATCAGGTTGGAAAAGAGCTAGCACATGGTGGTCAAACGAGATGATGGCTTCATGTGTCAATCAAATCCATAAGAGTTAGTTTGAGCCAGTTAGCCACTTAGAGAGGTGTAGATTGGCTGTCCATTTGGGGTCTTCGGGACGTTAAGAAGGCTGGAGACTCGGTGATATGACTAAAAATCGTTTTCATTGGCTGGTGCAGATGCACTTACCCTTTGTGTTTTGTCATTTCCAATAAAACTCTGTTGTTCTCCCGTATAACTTTTCTTTTTTCCTCACAATTCTGTTTACTGTCTTTTGAATCTCAGTTTCTTCTTTTGCTCTGTGTGGTACATGAAGGGAGTGTGGCAACTCGAAGTGCTGCACATCTGTCTGTCTGTTCTCGACATAGAACTTTGCACCGATATGCGGCAGTTTAAGTCGCCACACTCCATGTAGAACACAAAGCAAGAGAAGAAAGTAGAAGAAATGTATAGTAGAGACAGTAAACAGAGGTGTGAGACAAAGGAATAGTAATAACGAAGATCAATATAGTTTCATTGAAAATCATAAGTCACAGGGAGTGGATGCATCTGCGCTAGCCATTGAGAACGATTTTAAGCCATATCACCAATTGCATCCAACCATTGGTTTTTACCGTCTCGAGGACCCCAACCAGGAAGTCTACACCTTCCTACGTGGCTTAGACTAACTGTTGTGGATTTCATCGACTGATGGAGCCATGTTTTGGTTTGACCGCCACTTGCTCTTTTCCAGCCTGACTCTATGTCAGCTAACATTGCCCATTGTCGAGGAAGGCGATGACTAGGCATGCATGCATAACACATGTCCTAACCATCTCAGTCGATGTAATTTCACAGCCTCGTCGATTGATTTCCCCTCCTTCTCACCTAGCACTCGACGCCTAACCTCAATATTGCTCACCTTATTACACCTACCACTTCACACGGTAGATAGAACGCAGACACCTATGATCAAAGACAGCTAGCCAGCCATTTCATGTCTTCCACTCTCAGTGGCCAGGTCTCACAGCCAGCCATAAAGGAGGACGGAGCGGACTGATGAGCAGTACATCCGCCCTTTGGTCGATAGTCGGATATCTCGTCTACGCCAGAGACGGCGTAAACTGGCAAATGCGAAACGAGCCCCCTGTATCCGTGCTGAGATTTCGTCAGAGAACAACCCGTTGGGGCTGATGGTACTTCCCAAATAAGTGAAGCGGTCAACGTGCTCTACCACTTCACTCCCTATTTCTAAACTAGGAGTCGGTGTAGTCCAGTCCTGTAACATCATCTTACATTTGGCGGGAGCGAACCGCATGCCAAACAATTGTAGATTGCAGCTTGTCAAGGTGTTTAGAAGACTCTGCTTTATTTTGTCAGCGTCCTCGCCTAGAAGGACTATATCGTCTGCATATTCTAATTCAAAGAGATTATTCCCTGGTAGCAAGTCAGTCCCCGAGTATTACCTGTGGGATAGTGGTAGGTGTATCAAATATTTATTTTTTTATTTATTTTTATTATTTTTGATTATAGGTTGATTCCACACTGTATTTTTGGTACAAGTATGGAATTTTCAGCATGGATATCGGTAGCCGAAATTTTTCAGGCCGACCATAGATAATGTCAAGTGTGCGTCGGCAGGGGATCGAACCTCGGACCATGTGCATGGTCGGCGAGAGTCCTAACCACTGTGCCACCGACGCAATTCACAAGATATTGGACTTACTGGCTGATTGAATGATTTTTCAGCTTAGAACTTTCCACAAAAGTGTAGTACTTCAAGCTGCCACACTCCACATAGGACACATAAGTAGAGACAGCGAGAGGAAAAAAATCCAAAAGAACTGTAATGAAGGCAAATGTACTGGAAGAAGAATGATTACATGGAGAGACGTGAAGATGTTCATAAATTCGGAAGATTAAAAAGAGTGAATACATCCGTGTCATAGCAAACGATCTTGAACTATATCACCAATAGTCTCAAGCCATTGGTTCTTAACGTCTAGATACTTTACTTATTTTATTCCTGTACGTTCCTAGTGGAACATACAGGCTTGAATTTTCGGTAGCAGTGGTGTTTATTTTTACGGGATGGGATTGCTAGCCTCATGCCAAGCCTCCCCTCTTCACTAGTCTTATTACCGAGTTAGTGAGGTAAAAGAGTGCGTTGGTGGCCGGGGATCGAACCGTGAACCACATGAAGCGTGGTTGGTGAGCATTCTTCCACTGTGCTACCGACGCCCAGCGTCTAAATACTGGACTAAAAATTAAAAAAAAACTTCATGTTTTTATTGTATTTTTTATCCCCTTTACGTATTTGTGCTTATTTTAAATGTGTAGCAGCTTAAACCAATGCACACATACGAGCAGTGTTCATCATTCATTCTCCAGTGTGCTATATAAGCATGTAGAGTTTAGTTATTTTCTCTTTGGTTTTTTCCCTTTTTTGTTTTCCAAAATAGGCGCATCATCTGCTTGGTATGCACAGACTGTTGTATTCCGTGATATGGATAATGATTCACGTATTCTATCCGGTGGTAATTCCAATGTGCTGTATATGTGGGATCATATGGGTAGCCTGTTAGCCTCACTCGATTTATACGATCCACCGAATTCACGAATTAGTCATATTCTTGTTGTTGATACATTTAATTTATCTGAATCAGTCGAAGCTTTAAAAGCGAAGTATCATTCGAATTCTGCATTTGTTGTTGGCGGATGTGGACCAGTGATACGATTAGTTGCTAATCTTGGTTACCCTCTTGGTGTACTGCATTTATCTTAATCCTCTATCACAGTTGTACTTATAAAAAGTGTATATATTTATAAAATGTTTTCATAATACATACATACGTACTTTAAATTGTATTCTTTTTTCTGTTTTGAGCAAATAGCCTCATTATTCATTCGTATGTGTAAACGTTTTAGGCGCTGTGGTACAATGTAATTCCATATTAGATAAGTTTATTCCACGTATGACATAGTAATGATGCAGTATTAACAACTGGATGACAAGGTTTCCAACACAGCGGCAGTGTGCTCGCTGCCGACCACGCCTCACGTGGTCCGGGGTTTGATCCCCGGCCACTGACTCACTCCTTCGCCTCCCTAAGCCAGTCATAAAACTGGTAAAGAGGGAAGGTTGGGCATGGGGTTAGCAACTCCATGTTGTAAAATTGAACACCGCTGCTACTGAAACTTCAAGTCTGTAGCTTGAAGCCACCCTATGTTCCACTGGGGACGTGAAGGAGTTAAAAACAAAATAATTACATCAGTTTAGTCACACGGATTCACAATTTGTTTTATATATATATATATCTTCCCCCTTTCCGTCTCTTCAACTTCCCTTTCTTGTTTGTTGTCACTTTCCTTATCTCCGGTATAGGCGTCGCGTCACTGATTAACCTCTAAAGCTTTGTTTATCAACTCAACACTGCACATGTGCAGTCGGAAAGATGCAACACCTGTAACGGATGTATGGAAAGTGGCAACATACAACACGAAGGAAAATTGGAGAGACAGAAAAGGAGGAAAAAGATTTATAAAACAAGTTGTGACAACCACTGTGTGACTAAAATTGATATGATGATTATGAGCAGCAATAATTTATACTTGAAACCTTGTCATACAGTTGTTAATACTGCATCGTCACTTTGTGTGATATTTAAAATTAGCTTAAGTAGAATTGTCAATAATCCAGGAATGAAAGTGGCATTGAAACCCACAAACTCAATTAGAAAAAAAACAAGGTGTATCGGTTAAACGATCCTGTGGAAGCAATTAAACAAAACAATTTAGTTTATCTAATGCCCTGCCTGTCAGGTCAAATACATAGGTCAGAGTAGTACGAAGGGAGGGGTCAGTCAGACTGCTAGAGCACAAAATCCTACCAAAAAGTCTAGATTAGTTGACCCGAATAGGATAAGAAATCTGGAGAATAGTCCAGCTGTAGCACCCACTACATGCAATTACTTTTTTATTTTTATTTTTGATTACAGCTTGATTCCATACCGTATTTTTGGTACAAGTATGGAATTTTCAGCATGGACATCGGTAGCCCAAATTTTGCAGGCCGACCATAGATAATATCAGGTGTTCGTTGGCGTGGGCTCGAACCCCGGACCATGTGCATGGTCGGCGAGAGTCATAACCACTGTGCCACCGACGCACACAACCGTACATCGGGATGAGATAAAATGGCAATTCTAAAATCCAATGTAACAGCAGGGTGGATGGAGAGATTACTAACTGGAGGTTTGTTTATCGAATCAACTGCAAACACATAATAGAAAGAATTCAACACCAGTCCACCTGAACATTTAGACAATTCTACTACACCTCTACGAAGAATAGGAAGGAATATAAGAGAAAACGAAAGTTTCGAAGTTGTGTAGTTATGATTGAGCCTCAGTAAATTGTGTTCAAAACCTTGTCATCCAGTAGACAATTATACCGTTTCATTGTGAGTGATATATCTAATAAAGAAATTAATACGGAATCATTGTTTGTTTTGTGGTCATACTTCGTGCTTTTTTATTTCACCTTGCCTTCATGTATACACTTCCCACATATATTTGTAGATTAAAGCAAACTTTCAGTCTTCATCGTAATGCGCTATAATAAGTCAAAAGTACGAATCAACTATAAAAGGGGTAATCATCATGTCGTTGACAAGTCAAATAAAAGTAGAAAAAAATTCAAACCGAAATATGATTCAAGGTAGGCGGGTTTTTAATTGTTTGTGTGTATGTTTGTGTGGTGAATAGTGCAGTTTATGTCCTTTTCATCGATATCTCAATCTTTTCTTTTCTTCCATTCCTTTGCCTCCCTAGTGGGACCTAGGACTTTGTGCTCTTAGCCTTGAGTTTTCAGTATTCTTGGTGTTGTTCTTATTGGATGAGGTTTCTAGTCTTACCCCTAACCTCCTCCCTTTTTCACGCTTATTACCGGTGAGACGAGCGGAGGAGTGGCAGGGAATCGTACCCCGGGCCTTGTACATCGTTGCTCAGCGTTCTGCTCCTAGACCACCGACGTCCACATCTTAATCTTCTATACTGCCTTATGTTTAACCTTTTATTGAAGCAATAATTCCCTTGTAATATGTCCATTCAAACTCCACTGTTCTCAACGAACAGTCGGTTTCGACAAAGGTTACTCAGTCTCATCATTTCTTCTTAACTTTGTTGTTATACGTGACATTCCAGGGGGAGCTTTGAAGGATGTGAGTGGTGGTAGTACTGTCTGGTGCTCCTGGAGAGAAGACTTGACATTGAGTATGCGGATGGTGTCGTCTTACTGTTCGATATAGGCTACCTAAATGACACTTGATTACTTGGTGACAAGTATCTCTAAGCATAGTATACGCTTTGTTTGAATTGCATAATACTGTTGGAGGATAGACAACAGCATGTATTTGCATTCACCCTCGTGGGGTAACCGTTAGAATTAGTTAATAAATTTGTACATATTGGTGGTTGGCAGAGATGTAATGGATGAGTCGTTAATCGAACAGTAAAGGCCAGGGTGGCATACACCGACCCAAGCAACCTCTTGCAGTGTCCCGGCGGATGTAACATAGAGGTTCAGTAACACATCTACTTTGCATTCTGTCCTCTGCTGTCTTTTTAGCTGGCTTCATGGTTGCCCACAAGCTTTCATTTCCTCCTCATACGATCAACTCAGTGTCATTACTGGACGCCCAACTAGTAGGTTTTCGTGCAGTCTCCACTCGATAGTCTGACGCATAATTCCACTCAACAGTCTCTTCAGTAGTGTGTGTCCGACTCCCCTCCATTTTGTTCTTCATATTTATCCAGCAATAGGTTCTTGCTTGGTTCGTTGCCAGAGACGGTTTTCTACTTATCTTTCTTGATTGGCCATCTGATCTTTAGTGTGAAATGAAGACGTGTGTTCATCAAAAGCCTGGAGAGTAGTAGTAGTAGCTTGTTGGAAATGTTTTCAGTGTGGCACAGGCACCAATTTTCTGTACCATATTGAAGGATTGACTCGACTTTAGTGTTAAAAATGTGGATATTGTTCCTCATGCTGAATGCAATTGATTTCCATACTGATTTGAGGGTATTGAAGGTCTATTTTACCTTAACAACTTCATCTATATGCCACCTGTATTTGAAACGATGCTGTCTAGACAAGTGAAGGAATTGATTTCGATTCGATTACTTCCGTTGATGGTGATTGGTGCATATTGTTGTTGTTGTTCGTTAGGTATTTCCATACTACATCGCATTGTTCCTTGAGTGACTGACTGACTGACTAGTTTCAACGTAGAACTTTACACAGACGTGCAGCAGTCCCACTTGCCACGTTGACCGCTTCACTTATTTGGGAAGTACCATCAGCCCCAACGGGCTGATCTCTGACGAAATCTCAGCACGGATACAGGGGGCTCGTTCCGCATTTGCCAGTTTACGCCGACTCTGGCGTAGACGAGATGTTCGACTATCGACCAAAGGGCGGATGTACTGCTCATCAGTCCTCTCCGTCCTCCTTTATGGTTGTGAGACCTGGTCATTGAGGGTGGAAGACATGAAAAGACTAGCTGTCTTTGATCATAAGTGCCTACGCTCTATTTCCCGTGTAAAGTGGCATAATAAGGCGAGCAACATGGAGGTTAGGCGTCGAGTTCTAGGTAAACAGGGGAAATCAATCGACGAAGTCGTGAAGCTACATCGACTGAGATGGTTAGGACATGTGTTACGTATGCCAAGCCATCGCCTCCCTCGACGAGCAATGTTAGCGGATATAGGGTCAGGCTGGAAAAAAGCTAGCGGCGGTCAAACAAAAACTTAGCACCAGTCAATGAAATCCACAACAGTTGGTCTAAGCCACGTAGGAAGGTGTAGACTTCCTGACTGGTTGGGGTCCTCGGGACGGTAAAAATCTATGGTTGGAAACAATTGGTGACATGGCTCAAAACCGTTCTCAGTGGCGCAGATGCATCCACTCCCTGTGACTTATGATCTCCAATGAAACTGTTTTGTTTTTCTTTATTACTCCTTTGTCTCACACCTCTGCTCACTGTTTCTATTATGCTTTTCTTATACTTTCTTCTCTTGCTTCGCGTGCTACACGGAGTGTGGCGCATTCAACTTCTGCACATTTGTGCAAAGTTCTATGTTGAAAACAGACAGACAGACAGACTTGCCACTCTCCCTCCATGTACCACACAAAGCCAAAGAAGAGAGTCAGTAATGAGACATTCAGGACAGAGATAATAAACAGAATGAATGAATGAATGAGGGAAAAAGAGTGGTAACATGGAACAACAACAAAGTTTTATTGGATACGACAAATCACAAAGAGTAAGTGCATTTGCGCCAGTCATTGACAACGATGATTTTCAGCCATATCACCAATTGTCTGCAGTCATTGTCATGAGTTCTTACGATCCCGAGAACGGCAACCAGCCAGCCAGTCTACACCTCCCTACGTCACTAGCTGGCTGAAACCAACTGTTGTGGTTTGACCACCGCTAACAACGTTCCTTAAAAAATGTGACTCATCAGGTGTATAACCGTTCATATATATATATATATATATATATATATATATATATATATGGTTGTGTTCTCTGAGCTGGATGATTGATTTGCGAAGCTTCATGGGTACCCATGAACATAAGCTTACAAAAAAGACATGACATCCACTCCCTCATATCACTGCATACAGACAACCGCGGACATCAATTCGACTGGGACAACGTTCAAATATTAGACAGAGGAAATACCAAAAGTGCTAGAGAATTTTTAGAAGCCTGGTATTCCAGTAAATCATTAATCAATAGACACATCGAGATAGACAAAATTTATCAACCGATAAGAATGAAACCTCACACACACAAAGGGTCAAAGTTCAAGTCAAAGAAACAATCAGTTCCAATACAAGTAGCTGCCTAGAAGATATGAAAACACACAAAAACAACCAATCACGTTCAAGGTGGTCACTAGGAGAGATGATTAATAAACTCGTGGAGAAATCTAAAAGCTTACTTCAACAAGTTGAAGTATGCTCTGAGATGGGATGTTGCCTAGTAGGGCGATGAAAGCCTCGCAAATTAACTATCCAGTTAGCTCAGAGAACACAACCCTATCAAAATAATCCACCTGAGCTACAAATCTTCATCATATATATATATATATATATATATATATTTATTCAATGCATACATGTAGTTTTCTAATGTCTAACAACTACTCTATTTTAAATCTCTGACATTATGATATTCTCTATTGATTTACCTTTCAGAGTGCGTCTAGTAAAACAAAGAATAATTCAAAAACAAAGAGCACAATTCACCTGTCAAAATTCAAAGCAGAAAAACACCACTTCCAATAACGAAGAAGTTAGTCAACCAGAAAAGTTGATCTCTATACCAAAACCGATACACAAATTATCCAATGAAACTACTGAACACAGGGAGACAATATTACCGGTTGAATCGGATACAAATAGGTAATATAATGTTATGTAAACTTCTAAAGATTTATTTTCATATTAATGAATATCAGCTAGGCATTTTAGAGCAGTTAGATACCTGAGTCTCAGCTACTCGGGACACATTTTCCATATACTAGACCTTGTGCTACACTTGTTGTGTGTGTGTGTGTATGTATGCGGTGAGAGTGCTGTCTGCAAGCCAAAATTGTAGACACCAATTTACATCAATCTTACTTCCCGAATCGGGGTCATGAGAAAAACCAATAACCAGGCCTAACCTTGGGGAACTCACCAACCAATCACAGCAGACTTAACGTGTGCAAATATGATTCACAGATGTGTCGTTTAACTTTCTAAGAAACTGTCACAAGCAGTACAGAATAACCTTGAGCAAGAAAACAACCAATCAGAAGAGGTTGCTTCTCCGCTGACAATAATGTACACATAAAAATCTATAAATATCTCTTGATTTTCTCAATAAAGGATCTGTTACCCGGCCCTTGTCTGCTGTCGTTACATGTATAGTTACTCAGTTGCTTAGGCACTGAGCTAGGTGCTGCAAGACTCGAGTCTTGGATTCATTGTTTGGAAGTCGACTGCTTAAGTCAGTCAGTCGGCTGTAGCTGAATATTTATGGATGGGGAGAGTGAAGACTGACTGGATTTCAACGTACAACTTTGCACAAAAGTAGAGCGGTTTAAGTTGCTACTCCCCTCCCCTTCCGACCAACACCATTTAGCACATAAAGGTAGACAAAAAAGAGCAGAGAAGAGATTCATGAAAGGGACTGTAGTAAACAGAAATGTGAGGGAGAAAGGATAGTAACATGGAAAAACATGAAGAAGTGAATGCGTCGTCTACTCTACTGAGAACGATTTTAATCCTTATCATCAGTAATCCCCAGCCATGGGTTCTTCGCATCCCGAAGATCTCCACGAAGAAGTCTACGCGTAACTCAAACTGACAGTCAAAGAATTCGTGGATTAATGTTAGGTTTTGGTTTGACCACCTCCAACTCTTTTCCAACGTCCTATGTCAATTGACATGTGCGCCGGTGGCACACTGGTAGAATGTTCACCAACCACGCCTCATGTGGTCTGGAGTTTGAACCCCGGCCGACGGGCATCTACTTTATCAAGGGCAATAGTCTTAGCCTGGTACATGGAAAAAATGTGTTCTGAGTAAACGAGTTCTATTCAATTATCTTTCCATAATTTTGATTTAGACCAGTGCGACGGAGTACTGATCATATCTTCACGCTTCGACAGATTCCGGAACATAGGCATAGTTACTGGTGTCAGTGCAATAATTGCCATATTTCTTCACCTAAGAGCGACATTTGGTTTCATCGACTAAGAGGTACTGGGGTGATGTTCGGTCGGCAAGGGAATGTTGAAAAAAATACGTCACACTTGTCGAGGCACTCTACTGGAACTCATGCGGCCAGGTAGGAGCCTTCAGAGAGTTGTCATCTAAAGCGATGACAACCAGTGGTGTCCGTCAGGGATGGCGACTATCCCCATCCCTGTTTAGTTTCATCATAGATGTGCTAATGGACCTAACACTAACTGAATTCAGCGACTTAGGGATTGGCTTGTTACCACTAGGTAATAATCCCGTTGACTTGCAATATGCAGATGATATAGTCCTTCTAGGCGAAAACTCTTACAGAATGTAGAGTCTTCTGAACACCTTGAGCTATGCAGCAATCTTCGTATGTTCGTCAGGCGATTCGATCTTGTCAAATGTAAGATGATGCTACAGGACTGGACTGGACTACATCGACCTCATTCATAGCTTAGAAATAGCGATTGAAATGGTTGAGCGTGTTGACCACTTCACTTATTCGGAAATCGTATCAGCCAGCTCAGCTGGTTGATTACTGAAAAAATGTCAGAATGGATACGTAAGGCTGGTTTGGCATTTGTCACCCACCTGATGCCATCTGTGGCTTAATAGACGTGATATCTGTCTGGTTGTCGACCGAAGGACATGTTTAGTGCTCAGCAGTCCGCTTCCACCTCCTCCTTTATGGCTGTGAGAGAGAAATGGCCGTTGAGAGTGGAAGAAATGAAAAGCCTGTCTTTGATCATAGGTGTATGCGTACCATCTCCTGTGATAGGTGGTAGGTGTAATAGGGTGAGTAATATTGAGGTTAGACTTCAGTCGAGTGCTAGGTAGGGAGGAGAAACCAGTCAATGAAGTTGTGAAGTGACATCGATTGAATGAGATGGTTGGGACATATCTAGCCATCCATCACCTTCCTCGACAGAAGGTATTATTAGCTGACATAGGATTGACGAGGTTGGAAAAGAACTAGCACGTGATGGTCAAACCGAAACATACCTTCATGAGTCAATGGAATCCATAATAGTTAGTTTGAGCCAGTTAGCCACGTAGGGAGGTGTAGACTGTGTGTCTGGTTTGGGTCTTCGGAATATTAAGAAGCAAGGAAGGTTGGAGACAACTGGGGATATGACTCCAAATCGTTGTCGATGTCTGGCGGCGATTCATTCACTCAGTGTGATTTGCTGTTGTTCTTCCATATTAACTACTATTCTTTCCCCCTCACAGTTCTGTGTGTTATCTCCGTTTTGAATGTCTCTTACTTTGTGTGGTACATGGAGGGAGAGTGGCAACTCGAAGGGCTGGACATCTGTGCAATGTTCTGTGTTGAAATCATTCAGTCAGTCAGCCATAATTTTGATTGTATAAAACGCTTGCATGATTTTGTTATAATTCCTGACATTTAATTAATAGTTTGGCATGTTTATCTTTAATTCTTATTAGACCGTTGAAAAAGGTCAAAATTGTTGAACCTAAGAAATCAAAAAGTGGTCAGTCGAATGAAAATCAGCAACAACCTCATTCAAAAGAGAAATCTACAAAATCCAAGTCAAATCTATATTCATCAGACAATTCAAAAGAAGTCTGGTTCGATGATGTTCCATCAGCTTTGATTGCAAATTCAATGCATGATCAGGCGGCTACATCACAATCTTTAGTGAAATCAACATCATTTACTGGGTAAGATTGTCTCTTAAATCTTTTTGATATTTATTGTACCCTGTGTTAATGTCTCCACCTCCTGATAGGGACACTTCGACAGTGTCTGAGAATGAACATTGATTTTATTTGGTGGATGGAGACCAGTAGTACTATAATTCAAGATGAACATTTCGTCGTATTCTGAGACCCCCGTTATCTGCATATACCTGCAATCTCCGATGAGTAGTGTTGCTGTGCCCACTGAGATTCGAACTCAGTAGGTATTCTTCTTTTGAAACGCCAAAGCGTTATTCACTAGATCACTTGGGCTACGAGACGTCGCTTTTTGTGCAACGGGGAGATAAGTGTTATTATTTTCAAGTCATTTTTTATTTTACCCGTTGACTAATTGAATCATAATGTACGGTTTCTGTTTTGACTTGTCTGGCTCCATTGGCTACGGGCACTTCGTCGATGATGTCTAAGAATCAACGCTGATGTTACTTGATAGGATAGTGACTATCGGGAAAATCCTGCACCTTTTTATATCTAAAAATATCTCATAGTGATAACCGTCCGCACATCTTCTTTATTCGGATGTATTCCATTGTACCTATCCTAGGGATGTTTGCTTAGTTCTAGTTTGATATACGCCAGTAATCCCACAAGGAGGAATCTGACTCACAGAACCTTCAGATTATGAGGGCAAGCACGGTGCTTTTCAATCAATAATAAAATGATTCATACAATTTTTCCCTCTTATAAACAAAGTGTTAACAATTATAATATGTAACTGAAGACTGGATAGGATTTGAATTATGCAGATATTGACTTCAAGTGTAACCATGGATCGATATCAGTTAGAGAAACATTGGAAACCAGCAGGGAGTACTGGAAATCTGTTTCATTCTAGTTTGGGACACATTAGCAGTATGCACCCACTACCTCCATGGTTCGAATCCAGGACCTTCCGGTTACAAGTCAAGCTCGTAGACCATTTAGCCACTAGGATCCAACTCCATGGCCCATGCCTATCTCCAGCAAAAGGAGCTTGATTCACTCGCTCTTGTTCGGGATAAGAAACATTTGTACGTCTGGCTACGTTGACTCAGAACTTGCTTTACTAAAAGCAATGCTCGCAGAAAACGGTCACCCGAACCGATTTATTGACAAAAACGCTAAAGATAAGCAGTCAAAGGGGTCACTGACTCAGTTCTAAAGAAAATCTTATTCATGAATTCGGAATTCAAAGGTGATCAGGCTTTTCAGATGTGCTCAAACATCGTCTCCAAACCAATCAGTAAGATATTCTCTGCTGCAGGACTAAAAATTACCTTCACCAGTCGTAAGTTGTTCTCCAACTTTGTAAAAGATACGCCCCCAACGCATGGCCATCTTCATGGGCTTTTATCAGTTCACCAGCTCTTGTGGAGCAAGGTACTTATGTCGTAGCCAGAGAAGGACGCTTTCCACACGGTTTCGAGAATATATTTCATTATGGTTTTACAAAGGAGAAAGAGCCAACTATCTACAATGATTTTCCTGATTGCGGCAGACGGCAGGCCGGTAAGCGAGGAAACAGGCATAAAATGGACCCACACAAAAAAAACTTGGAGGGTCTGGACTTCGCCGATGACTCATATGTATTTCTGATTTCCCGCAAACTGGAAGATATGCAGGTGAAAAGCAACAAGTTGGCAGAAGAAGCATCAAAGATAGTCCTTCATGTGAACAAAGAGAAAACAGAGGTGATGAACATTCCTGGCCAACACCAACAGCAACAACAAAAACAGACAACAATCAGCCTGCATAAATGGGAGGAACCTGAAAGGAACAACCTCCTTTACCTACCCACGTAACTGGGAAGCATCGTTTCAACTACAGGCGGAACTGACGAGGATATGAAACCGAGGATCCGGAAAGTAAAGAAAGCTTTCAGTACTCTCAAGTCTCAGCAGAGATAGATCAACAGCACTCAACATGAAAAATAACATCCGGATTTTCAACTCCAATGTGAAGTCAGTGCTACTAAACGGATCAGAGACTTAGTGCCTCGTCACGTAGGCACTTCGAGGATACTACAGACCTTCATCAACAGCTGTCTTCGCTTAATACTGCTCAAGATCAGGTGAACGGCCAGAACAGATCAGCAACAGGGAGGGATCTCTAGGAGCGAACGAACCAACCCAGCTGGAATCAATTGTGCAACAAATATGCAGGAAGAAATAGAGGTGGATTGGCCATACTATGAGAAAACAAATCATCAAGTGAATGAAATCACACGCCAGGCCATCGCCTGAGTAGAACCCGAACAGGAAGCTGCCGGTTGGTCGTCAGTGCGAGGGTGACATGGAGGAGGAGGTCATGTGAAGAGAAGATGAAAGCATGTGGACAGACATGGAGCCAAGTGAAAACGTTGGCAGAGGACCGAAAGCAATGGAGACTTGTGGCTGAAGCCCTATGTTCCTCTAGGAAATAAAGGAACCAATAAATGAAGTCATTTTTAATGAATCTACTGTTTATTTTTCTCCGGATTGTATTGATCATGTTTCTCTGGTGTGTCGGTTCCTATGAGAATGTCTTGATACTATATTTACCTTCATCCTGATGTTTTTCTTTCTAGTAAGAATTAGCTAGCTGTGGAATCCAATGTTTTAGTCTGTTTCTATTGTCGTACTTTTTCAACTGGAGGTATTTATAGTCCAGTGAATAGTGGTCCTTCCCTAGAGTCTGTGTGGCTTTTGCTACTGACAAGATTTACGAGTAGTATATAAAGAGACGTTCATGAGCACACAAAAATATCACATAACTGAGAGATGAATTTGACGTCAAAGAGAGAAAATGAACCAGTATTGCGGCATGGACGAAACAAAAAGAGGACAAAGTAACACAATACAAAAGTGTTGTGTACTCGTCGAGTAGTTAATAGTCCTGACGCGGAAAGAGGGAAATCAGAAGACCACCAGGTTTACGATGATACTTGTATTTTCCAGACAAGGAAAAATAAATGTCACACAAGTGTGTGAGTGGAAGGGTACTTAGATGTACGAACGTAGGAAACAAGAATACAAGTGTACAAAGCAAGAGTATATATATGAAAATGGCTAATACACATGAGCCAATAAGATAACATCTTACCATGATTGGTTGAAATGTCATGTGATAATAAGGTCATACATTGTTTATTTAGTTAGTGGACAGACAAAAGCATATTGTCAGTTGCAATGAAATATCGATCCATATGCACATAGCAAAATATAATAGACTGTCAAAAACAAAACACACATCATGTGGATACATCAAAAAGGCAGAAATAGCACATCATACACTATTTGTGCTAATGGCGATTTTCATATGAAGTGTACATAATTTCCCTATGTATAGATATATCAGATTGCAAATAAACATTCCGTCGCCAATTCGCTTGTCTTCTCCTCTTACACTTGCATTGCAAACACTGTTAATAAATAACAAATGAATCCTCCACTGAATTGGGTGCGAGAACCGGTGCTCACCGATGACACTAGATCTGGCAGTAGCGTTATATATATATGGCACGCTGACTGGCATTATAATTCTTAGGCCACTAAGTTCTACCCTAGTAGCTGAATGTGGTCAACAAACTCACCTCGTAACCTGAAAGTTCCTGGCTTCAACCCCCGTGTGGGATTATAGGTGGGTACTGATGAAAAGTCCCAAACCAAGATGAAACAGCTGTCAAGTTAGCTCTGGTTTTCATTAGCTTGTCGACTGATGTCGATTCCTGATCTAATTGGATATTTTGTGACAGCTGACTGCTTTGATTATGTTAATCTTCTATTTTGATGTTTCCCTTTTACACAGTCCAACACGTCGTATTGCAATGGATTGTGAATTTGTTGGTGTAGGCTATGAGGGCGCTGATGATGCACTAGCACGTGTTTCAATTGTTAATCAATTCGGTCATGTCCTACTAGATACATATGTACGTCCTGAAGAACGTGTTGTTGATTATCGAACAAAATTTTCTGGTATACGACCACGTGATTTAAGAAAAAATGGACCAGCTCGACCATTTCATGAAGTACATAAAGAAGTTGCTGATCTGATTAAGAATAGAGTATTAGTTGGTCATTCAATTCTAAAGGATCTTCATGTAAGTTGTCATCTTAAGAAACTTGAGTATAATTTTCGCCTTTTATTTGATTTCTACTACAATAAGTTATGAAGTATCAATTTGCAGGAGTGTGATTCGTTACAAGTTGACTCATGAGTTGACAGTTTCTCGGCTATGGCACTGGCCGGTGGTTACGCCATATATATGTCGCGAATTGGTAGAAGTTGGAATTCATGGACTGGCCATTTGATTGGGTCCTAGTGGTTTGATGGTCTAAGAGCTCGCCGTGCAGCTATGAGGTCCCGGGTTCGAGCTCCTGTGAGAGCTTAATGCTGAAGAAGCCTAGGCTAGGACGAAGTGGCCACACAATAAATAGGTTAGTTGTTCAGAACACAGCTATACGGAACGGGCGTTTCGTTTACGTGGCTCTTCCAATTGAAACATAGGATTTCAATCATTAAAGTTTCAATAGCAATGATGTTTCTTTTACGGGGTGGGATTGTTTGCCTCACATCCAACCTTTCCTCTTTTCCAGACTTACTACTCGCTTGCAAAATAGGTGAGGCTTAGGAGTGTATCAGTTAGGAATCGAACCCAGACCATCTGTGTGACTGGCGAGTGCTCTGCCACTGAAACATCGACGCACTTACCAGACTGTGAACCGCTACATTTGATGTGTATGGCGGCTGATAATAATCACTAACCCCCGCCCCCGCTCTCACGAGAATTCTCGTTATATTCTATAATGTCTAATTGTTTATCTAAGTGATGTATTTGAAGCGTAATGCATTTTATTTTAATTTCAATCTCTCATACTCCCTATCCGCTTATCTATTTGAACATGACTTGGAAAACATTCGCACGTGTCTTTCTGCATGACTAATTCAATGTAGTTTGTTTACTTATCAGTTTCAAATCTCCGAATGTAATTTCAAAAATATATATATCCGTGTATGTAGAGTATTCAGCTGACGAGTTCTACTGAAATTTGATGAATTTATTAAATCCCGCTGTATTAACCTTTATTGCTCGTTTTAAATTCGTATCGGGAAATAAATGTTTTGAATTCTACCATTATTATATTCTGAGATGAAGGACACTGGAGATTCTGCATTGTGTGTAAGCAATATTTTGCAGAATTTTAAACAAGACTGCAGATATTCTGAGTATATTCGTTGAATGGCAGGAGATTTTTATCAGTGAACTGTTTGATTACAGAATGAGATCCAGTATGAGGAAGGTAGGTGAAGGAATTAATAATAGGTCAACTGTCAATAAGAGAATGTAATTTTGCTTCACATTGTCGAAGCTGAAGAAACTTAGTGGCACTTTCTAGCCAATATAAGTCCAGGCTGCAACATAATACTGATTTGATTGATGTAAGTAGTTGGATATCAATTCCGTGAATCAGTAGTACTCACTACTTACCAGATCTAAGTGATCTAAACAGTGGACGGCTTTTTTGCTTGTTTAAACACGGTGTTGCCGATGTTATGGAACTCATAATTCAGGTGGTTTGAACTAATATGACTCTCTCACATAAGTCAAACTAGTTACACACACCTCTGATGGATGAGGTCTGGGTCTGCTCCAAAGGAGCCTAACGGCCATCCTGTCTTCGATCTGACTAGCAAGCACTACAAATCGATAAGTTTGGTTCCAACTACTTACATCAGTCAATCAGTAGTACATAACGTCATAGAATATCGATTGCTGTTCACTGGTTGACATTTTTATGGCATCAAACAAATCACATATTATAATCTCTAATTAGTTTCGTTTTCCAAAAGTCACTGTAGTGAAATTTCACCTCGAACTGTGTAAATAGCAAATACATCCAGACAATAATCTCCTAAGGGAAATAATAAAGTAGGCGGCAGCTAGGTGGGTGGATGAACAGAAATTCTCACTATGAAGTGAACGGCTTCGGTTTTTCTTTATCCTGGAAGTGTTGAGCAACACAGAAGTGAACTAGTTGGGATTTCTGGAATTATTATTATAATATTATATTATTATTCCCTTGGGTTCCTATTGGAACATAGGGCTACAACAGCACGTCTCCGCTTTTTTTTCCGACATTTAGCTGTCCTCTTTACTTGGCCCGACGGTTTTCCACAATCTATGTTCCCCTCCTCGTATGATCGCTTCCATGTTACCCTTGAATTCCCTACTCGGGTTCGACTGCAGCAATGTTATTCGACAGTTTCTTCAGCGTGTTTCCAATCCATCTCTATTTCTCCTACATATTTGTTGAGCGGTAGGTTCTTTGTTGGTTTATTCCCCTAGATTTTTGCCGTTGATTGTCTCTAGCCTGACCCTCGATCCTCAGTATGAAGCCAGCGAAGGTAACAGCTGTTGATAAAAGTCTACAGTAGCCTGTTGGAAATGCTGTCCGTGACTGTCGCGCCAAGTTTCTTAGCCATATAGAAGAGCTGACTGACTTTACATTTTTGTTGAAATTCCGAGTTCTTTTCTCCATGCTAACTGAGTGCAGAAGATTTCCAAACTGGTTTCAGATGAATAAAGGTGTATTTTGCTTTTCCTATTCTGGTTTTGACATCTTCATTCGTGCCTGTTGCCAATATTTGAAACGATGCTTCCTAGATAAGTGAATTAAGTATTATTATAATATTATTATTATTGTTTCCTTTAGGTCCTAGAGGAAATTAGGGCTTCAGCCGCATGTCTTGATTGCGTTCGGTTCTCTGCCAACGTTTTCACTTGGCTCCACGTCTGATCACATGCTTTCATCTCCTCTTCACATCACCTTCTCTGACTCCTCCATGTCACCCTAGCACTGATGACCAACTCGTAGCTTCGCATTCGGTTGCGATGGCCTGGCGTGTGATGTCACTTGATGTTTGGTCAATCCACCTCCATTTCTTCCTGTATATTTGTTGCACAATTGGTTCCTACTGGGTTGGTTCGTTCATTGCCAGAGATCCCTGTCGCTGATCATTTCTGGCCGGCTATCTGATCTTGAGTATTGAGCGAAGACAGCTGTTGATGAAGGTCTGTAGTTTGTTCGAAGTGCTCTTCGTGACGTAGCGCCAAGTCTCTGATCCGTATAATAAGTAGCACTGACATCACATTGGAGCTGAAAATCCGAATCTTATTTTCATTTTCATGTTGAGTGCTGTTGACCTCCACACAGACTTGAGAGAAATGAAAGCTTTCCTTGCTTTCCCGATCCTTGGTTTGATATCCTCGTCAGTCCCGAACACCTGTAGTATAAACGATGCTTTTCAGGTAGTTGAGTAGGTAAAGGAGGTTGCTCCTGCCAGATTTCTCGCATTTATGGTGATTGCTCTCTGCTTTCTGTTGTTGTTAGCCAGGAATGTTGATCACCTCTGTTTTCTCTATGTTCACTTGAAGGCCTATCTTCTCTGGATGCTTCTTCTGCCAACTTGTTGCTTTTCACCTGCATATCTTCCAATTTGTGGATAATAGTGAATGAACTGACCTCTTTCAAATTTCTGTCGTTGATATTAATTAGTGCTTAGTCCATATCCACTCCATCTACTCTTTCAGATTCCTAACACTCCTATGCTGCATCTTCTCATTTCTTTGGCACACTGGGTAGCTTTCTCAGCCACGAACATTGTACGGACATTTTACCTGCCAACGTTTCTTTTTTTTGCTTTCATCAGTTGACTGACTAGCCTCCTTAGGGATTTCACCGAGTAGCATGACTTTGTCTCTCGTATCCAAGCGAAGAATAAGGCTGATTTTTATATTTTTAATATTTTTCTTGTTTATTGAAGTTTCTGTAACAGTCTGATTGATTTTCTGGAGTTGAGTCATTAGCCCCACGCTCATCCGTGTCTATTTTCCCCTGTTTGAGACCGATTAGAAAAATAGCAAGCTCGTAAACTAGGCGAGGTTATTTTGTTTTGTATTATTCCTCTTGACTTCTGCAAAGGTTACAAAATTCATGTTTCTCCCTTTTTCGAGTGGCATTCGGGTTACCTAATCTTTTGTCCCTTTTGTGATATTGTGAACCGTTAAATGTCTGCCTATTTTTCCACTATATATCTTATGATGGTAAATAATATGAGTGTTAATCCGTATTTTATTTATTATTATTATTACTGATATAGGTTCTACGACTTTCTCATCCACGTCGTTTCATTCGTGATACCTCACGTTATCGACCTTTTCGTGACTTATTCTCTGGTCGTATCCCGTCATTGAAAGCATTAACCCAGAAGGTACTCAGTGTCACTGTACAAGATGGTGAACATGATTCTGTGGAAGATGCCAGAGCTACTATGCGTTTGTATACATCTGTTAAACGTGTATGGGAATCGAGTAAAAAGAATCGAAGTGTAACAACAACAAATAAAAAGTTGAAGCAAGTTGTAAATCTTGAAGAAAAAGGCCAACTCGATGTGATAGATGAATATAAGGTTTGTTGAATTACGTAATCACTTATATATTTTGTGTTTATAATGACAGTATAGTGTCCTACTGTGATTAATTGTTATTTTGCTCATCCCATGGGTTCCGAGTAGGAACACAGGGCTTCTGTAACACACCGCCACTTCACTCGCTCGTCTTTTCACTATTGTCCAGAAGGGCAGAGTTAAACTTTAAGCACCACTAACTTACCAATCAGCGAATGACCTTGAATGCATCAATCCCATGGCGGAGGCATTTTCGGGTATAGAATACATAAATATTTATGAGAAAAGGTGCATGAAAACTGTATAAAAGTTTTACATAGGATACCTTCCTCTCACATGTGATAATGGTGGGTCGGTGGCACAGCGGTTAAGACGCTCGCCGACCATGCACATGGTCCGGGGTTCGAGCCCCGGCCGGCGCACACCTTTACCTCGCTAAGCCAGTAGTGAGACTGGTAAGGAGGAAAGGTTGGGCATGAGGCTAGCAACCCCATCCTGTAAGAATCAACACTGCTACGGAATCTTCAAGCCTATAGCTTGCAGGTGCCCTATGTTCCACTGGGAACGTGAAGGAAAAAAAACATGTGATAATAACATCTCCCAGTTTAGCATAGGAGTATCAGTGGAGAAGTTACACCACATCCTACACAAATATTCATCTAAATGACTATAAATGACATCGCTTTGCGATCCATTAATGGCTCTAGTCCTGTTTGTTAACCTTCCCCAAAAGCCTTCGATAGAATTGCTGTGTTTCTATGTAATGGGGATCCACAAAACCATTCGAATGGTTGACTCTGTGATGAATATACCCAAGGGATGACAGGGAGTTATAACTTTTCCAATCATCGGTGTGTAAAGATCCCTGTTTGACCAGTCGAGGGCTAATAGGTATTAAAGTACTTGACTTACTATCTGCTATCCACTCGATGAATCCTTTCTGTAGAGAGGTATCATAAAAATCAATCATCCAAACATCATTCGCTCGTTCTCGACCACGGTTGTATGTTTTCTTTAATAAGACAGTTTCATCCACATGTACGGTGACACCTTCTTTGAATAAAGAAAGTAACCCTCTCCATTTTCTAGGATGTGATATCCCTGCAGTGCTGGTACCATCGGAACTTTTGATACGAGACTGTTTTCAGTTTCAGCAGTTGCACTTCTTACAGGCTGTATTAAAACCCAGCGATTACAAATGTACAAAATCTGGGTTAATGGCAGATGGGACATGACAAAAAATGTTCCTACGAAATATTAGAATCGTCAGCTTACCTTCTCTTACACGAACTCGTCTCAAACAAATTTCACAACGATACACAAATCCATCAACCGACCTGATGGACCTGTTTATGCTCATGACACCTTCACACGAACAGATCCTTTCTTTGCTAATCAACCCCATATCTAAGGCATGCTGCAAGACTTGGTCTTCACCAAATTTCAAACGTAAATGTTTTAGAGCAGGCATCTGACTCGAATTAAGCGGAATAGAAGCTTCAACTTACATGAATATAACTCATTGGACCATTGAAGGTCAATGGTGCGGTTGCACTCCATTGATAATTAGTGGTGCTTAAAGTTTAACTTGGCCCCCAGAAGTTGTCGTTTCTTCTTCACATATGGCCTCCTCAATGTCGCCCTCGGAACCACGCCCAACTCGTTGCATCCCATCCTTATACCTTATACCAGTCACTTTATTTGAAAGTAATAATATAATCATAATGTTGATGGCGGAATTCAACAATCAAGTAAAATTTTGGCTTCCTTAGACGAAAGCATCTATGTAATTGTTTGGATTCTATGTTTTGATGTTCCTGTATCGATTGAATTGATTCTATTGGTCAGGGTCGTCAGCCCCACACTCAAATCTCCTTCTTTTTCGAGGCTTATGACCGGTTAATGAACTAGTAAAATAGGTAGCATTATATGTTTCGTCCTAGACTGGAGGTATTCAGCAGTACGTACTCCTCACCATCCCGGGGATTGAACCATTAGCTTACCAGATGAGCGACCACATCGACCAACCAGTCACTAGAGTAGCTGTCTTCGCTTGGTACTGAGTATCAGATGTCTGGCCAGAAAGGATAAGCAGCATATAATTCTGGCTGGAGGAATTTGGAATGGATTGGATATATACTCTGAGTGACACCACGTGCTACGACGACCTTGAGTGGGACGAGAATGAAAGAAAACGTGTGTTGGGCTTCCAAGAAGGGGGTGACATAGAGTAGATCATACTATGAGGTAATGGAAACTTAGGGGCAATCCTAGGGCCAATTAAAATACGCTTCAGGGGACAAAGGGAAATGGCAATGTACTGCTGAAGCCTTACTTTCCACCTAGAACTCAAGGGTTTCTTAAACCCTGTGTAAGTGAGTCGACTGTGGAACTGCTAAAGCTTTGGTTGTGCAAGTATGTCATGACTCCATTATCCTATCTTAATACTTTTACATTTGATGGCCAGTGTGTAGTTAGCCGTACCATTAGATTGCCCACATCACAGTTAATTTTCTAACATTTATTTCGTTTGCATCAATATTAGTCAATTCATCTTTCATGTGGTCAATGCAGTCATCTATTGCCTTGAAAAGTGTTGCACGAAAATCCAGTCATCTGCTAGAAACTTGATCACTCATCTCCTAACTACTGGCTGACTGACTGGTTTCAACGTGGAATTTTGCGCAGATATGCAGCATTTTGAATTGCCACTCTTCCTCCATGTATCACACAAAGCAAATGGAAAGGGTAAAGAGAGATTGAAAACAGAGATAGTAAACAGAGTCGTAAAGACAGAAGACAAGGACCAGGCAACAGATCGTTTATTCAGAAAACCAACGGATATTTATATTTTTATGTATATTATTGTCAGTGGAGAGCAACGACTTCTGATCGGTTGTTCTCTTGGTGAAGGTTATTCTGTACTGCTTGTGACCGTTTCTCAGAGGGTTAAACCATATATCTGCGAATCGTATTTGCACACGTTAAGTCTGCTGTGATTGGTTAATGAGTTCCTCAAGGTTAAGCTTGGTTATTGTTTTTTCTCATGACCCCGATTCGGAAAGTAACATTGACGTAAATTGTTGTCTACAATTTTGGCTTGCAGACAGCTCTCACCACAGTGTGACTGAGAAGGAAGAAGAATAGTAATACGGAAGAACGGCAGAGTTTTTTTTGTATATGAAAAATCACAAAGAGTGAAAGCATCTGCACCGGTCATTGGAAACGATGATTTACAGCCATATCACCCCAATTGTTTCCAGCCATTGCCATGAGTTCTTACCATTCCGAGGACCCCAACCTGGTTGGCTTGTCTAGGATCACAAATCAAATACAAACTGATATACCAAAAAAAAACTGTTGTCAAATAATGCCTTTACAGTTTTTTTATTTTTGTTTTTTTATTTTTTATTTACAGCTTGATTCCACACTGTATTTTTGTTACAAGTATGGAATTTTCAGCATGGATATCGGTAGCCCAAATTTTGCAGACCGACCATAGATATCAGGTGTGCGCCGGTGTGGGCTCGAACCCCGGACCATGTGCATGGTCGGCGAGAATCCTAACCACTGTGCCACCGACGCACATAAAATCATGTATACACAGCTACAATAGAATCCGATCACCAATCGAGTCCTGTAGTAACCATTGTAGCGTGATGCAGAATGATAAGTAGCGACTGAAACTGAAATCAACAATTTAAGTCGATAGCCATAGAGGTAGAAGCGTTTATTTCTCAATATTGGTTGAGTTTACGTTGTGAATATGAAACAACTTCATTGGATAACTTATTTAACCTTGAGCCAATCGCCAACCAATCAGAACAATTTATTATCCTCTAACTTAGTTCAGTGTTAATGTAGCTATGATGGGATGTGTTTTCCATTACCAAGTGGCTTATCCTCGGTGATTAAATGGCTGAATGCTGCTCACCAACCATGGACAGACGACTGATGTACTGCTGAACCTCTCGCTTAGGCGGTATTAAATCCGATAAAGTAGGAATAGTGAGCGTGAGACCGGCAGCTTAATCCTGTTAACAATCACTACTACAGAGACTTCAAAGCTCAAGTCTAGAGACCCTTATGCTTCATCCGATACTCAAGAGATGGATAATAAATAATAATAATAATAATGTTTACATAAAGGTAACTTGATGTGCTTTCAAGCATAACACAAAATACAGGTGTGTATGTGTAGCCCACTGCACATTCACACTTAATTTATGTAGACATTACGTGCATAACCACTGAAATACATTGACTCCTAGCTTAGAAATAGAGAGTGAGGTGGTAGAGCACGTTGATCACATCACTTATTTGGGAAATTGCATAAGCCAGCCCCAAAGGGTTGATCTCTGGCGAAATCTCAGCACAGATACTGAAGGCTCGTTTCTCATAAACGCCAGCTTATGCCGTTTCTGGCGTAGATGTGATATCCGGCTGGCTGTCGACCAAAGGGAATGTGTACTGCTTAGCAGACCGCTCATACCTCCTCCTTTATGATTGTGTGTGAAAAATGGCCATTGAAAGTGGAAGGCATGAAATGGCCTGCTAGTTGTCTTTGATCAAAAGTACCTGCATTCTGTCTGTCATGTGAATTGGTATAATAGGGTGAGCAATTTTACGATTAGGCGTTGAGTGATAGGTAAGGAGGTGCAATCAATCGACGAGTTGGTGAAGCAGATGTATCGATTGAGATGATTAGAACATGTGTTACGCATGCACTCCTAGTCATCGCCTTCCGTGACAATAGGCAATGTTAGCTGACATAAGATGGATCAGGTTGGAAAAGAGCTAGTGGTGGTGATCAAATCAAAAGATGGCTTTACCAGTCAATTAAATCCACAACAGTTACTTTAAGTCACGTAGGAATGTGTAGACTTCCTGGTTGGGCTCCTCGGTATGGTAAAAACCAATGGTTGGAAACAATCGCTCTCAATGGCTAACGCAGATGCATCCACTCCTTGTGACTTATGATATCCAATGAAACTGTTTTATTCTTCGTTATTTCTATTCCTTTGCCTCACACCTTTGTTTACTGTCTCTAATATGCATTTCTTCTACTGTCTTCTCTTGTTTTGTGTGCTACGTGTGGGGAGTGTGGCGACTTGAACTGCTGCACATCGGTGCAAAGTTCTGTGTTGAAACCATTCAGTCACATGCTTAACCGTATTGATTTTGTGTTGGTTTAATTCTTTTCTCCTTGAAATTTCTCCAGTCTGGATTACCAGAAGACAAACCAAAGTTAAGCAGTCAACAGTCAAACAAAACTGGTAGGAATAAAACGCCTACACGATGGGATCCTTTACGTGGTCGTAAATGTTCCAAAAAACGGTTGAAATTTCTTAATAAACGTCGTAAACAACAGAAATATAAGTGAAATGAAATTGTGTATTCATTATATAATTGTGTAGAAATATTGTACAGTCCATCCCCCTGTTCATTACACTATTTCAATATTTTAGTTTTTTGGATAAACAGAGAATATAAAAATAAATTGTATAATAGTCTTTTGTTATGCTATTACTCTGTTTGGTTACTCTATTACCAAGTGGTTGGTATTCAGTTGTCTGGAATACGTTTGTCATCTATCGGGCTATGTGGAAATGATGGTAATAATAATAATAGCTTTATTCCAAAGAGTACTTCTGGTACAAATATGGAATTTTCAACATGTGGTAGTGTAAAAACAGAAGACAAAAGTCAGACAACAGATCGTTTAATAAGGAAATCAGCAGGTATATATATATATATTTCATGTACATTATTATAGCTTATTGAAGCAGACAAACACAGTCTTCTAATTGGTTGTTTCTTGCTCAAGGTTATTCTGTACTGCTTGTGACTGGTTACTCAGAAAGTTAAGCTGTATATCTGCGAATCGTATTTGCCCACGTTAAGTCTGCTGTGATTGGTTGTTGAATCAGCCTTTGTTCATCTTTTTTCTCATGGCCAATATTAGCGACCTAGACATTGACGTAAATTAATGTCTACCAATTGGCTAGCAGCCTGCTCTCACCACAGTAGTACAGTATTGCATCTAATTTTTTCATTATATAAGGGCAATAATTAAAATAGGGCATTTACAATAATTTTTATTTTTCTTGATTACAGCTTGATTCCACACTGTATTTTTGGTACAGGTATGGAATTCTCAACATGTGATATCGGTAACCCAAATTTTGCGGGCCGACTGTAAATATCAGGTGTGTGTCGGCAGGGGATCGAACCCCGAACCATGTGCATGGTCGCCAAGAGTTATAACCGCTATGCTACCGACGCACAATAAGAAATGAATATAAAATTATATCAAGTGAAAATATTAGCGAAAATGTGACAATGAAAACAAAAAAACAGGCCGTTTACTTAGAATTCCGCCGTAAGTTGATAATTTCCTGCCTTACTCGCTTTTTTTATCACATAAAATGTGTGCCTGCTAAGTGAGGTATTGTGTAAATTTTATACTTGGTTGTCCGAGCATATAATCTATCGTTGCTTATAGTTGCTTGTAGGCTAAGTGGCACACTGCTTACCGTGCTGACAACCTTTAACATCCTGCGTAATAAGGTATAGTCTTTCTTCAATAGCCCTGGAAAAACTAAGGGAGAACAATAGAGAAGAATAGGTAGAACGCGAGAGTTAACGAATTGTAGGAGTAAGGGTTGGGTTATACTAGAATATCTTAACTTCTTGATGTGGAAGGTAAAACGGAATATTTTCTTAGAAATCGTCAAGATATGAGACGACCAGGAAAGATCAGCAGATAGAATGATGCCTAGGTATTTAATTTCCGACTTGGTTTCAATTTCAGTGTCATCTATGTTGCACACCTCGTGAGTGCTAACCAGTTTGTTTAGGTCAGATTTGTGCTTAAAGGTGAGATTAACTGTTTGGCATTTGGAGGGGTTTAAGGTGAGACCGTTTTCCTGGGACCATTGGCTGACTTCTGATAAAAAGCCGTTTGGTTTAGAGCAGTCGCTTTGATATTTGACAGGCAAAGATACAGTTAGGTCATCAGCATATTTGACAAAATTAATGTCATTTGAAGATGGTAGGTCATGTAGAAAGAAAGAAAAGAGAAGTGGGGAGAGTACAGCACCTTGGGGGACACCAGCTTCAGTGAGCACAGCAGAGGAGGATTCGCCTTTGTATACAGTGTACTGCATTCTGTTCGAAAAGTAGGAATGCAACCAGTTAGTGACCCAGGACTCGGTTTGTGTCATGGAGAGCTTATTTAGCAAGAGACATCTAGGTATAGAGTCGGAAGCAGAAGTGAAGTCAAGAAACGTGCAGCGGACGTATTTGGCACCTTTATCTAATGATGAGACGATATTGTTGTGTAAGACGGCTGCAGCGTCTAAAGTACTCCTACCCTGTCTGTAGGCAAATTGTCTGGGGTCTTCAAAGCTTTTAAGGGAGGGTTCGAGTTTAAGAAGTACTAGTTTTTCCATAAGCTTTAGGAACGGGGAAGTGATAAAGACGAGAGATACGTAAGATGCTGAATGACCAATACATGAGATAACAATGTACTGAGTTCAACTCAAATCATAGGAACAAAAGACAAGCAAAATTACACTATGACAAAAGAGAGGTGAGGTTAAAGCCAAAGATTACCAACTGAAATAATTGGTAATGTGCTCGAATCAGAAATAGTCCCACGGGATCGATGTACATCATTCCTTGTATGAAGTGAAATAAGTCTTCTTGTGGTGATCATAGAGGGATAAGCTTGACTAGTAAGTCTATAAACTCCTGGGTTCTAGCACCGTGCGTAAGCTAAGTGATGCTCTGGAGGAGAGAGACAAACATTGGAAAATCAAGCAGGCTTTAGGCTCTGATGGGGCTGTATTGATGATATCTTTACTCTACCCCAGATTCTGAGACGTAGGCAAGCTTAGCGTTGTCCGATATTTCCCATATTTCTTGACCTGAATACAGGCATTTAAATCCGCCGACCAAGATGTGTTGTTGCAATCTTTGGCTGTAAACAGAGTACTGAGAATGCATATTTTACTGATCAAAATACTTTAACCAAACTGACGCAGCTGTGTAAAAGCTTATGGAAGGTCGTTATCTGAATTGATAACAACTAGTGGTGTCCGTCAAGGATGCCCAATGCCTTCATTTTTGAAACTGCAATGGGAACAAATTTTACATTGTTTAATCTAATCGTAAATGTACTAACGGGATAGACAGAATACAGAGTTATCGAAGTACCTTGAGTAGCAATCTTTGAATGTGTGGTTCATTCCTATCAATTTATAATGATACTGTAGGGCTGGCTTGGGATACTGAGTGAAGTGGCAGTGAGTGTTGACTACTTCAGTTATTTGGGAATTTGTATAAGCTTTAATGGACTGATTGCAGATGAAATCTCATCATGGATACAAAAGGCTCGTTTGGCATTTTCCAACTTGCACCATCTCTGACTATCGATGAAAAGAAAGCGTGTGTTGCTCAGCAGTTTGCTCTGACCCTCTTTATGACTGTGAGACGTGGACGTTGAAAGTGGAAGAAGCAACTTGTCTTTGACTATAGCTAATTGCGCTCAAATTCTCGTGTTAGGTGGGATTGTAACAACAGAAGACAAGGTCCAGACAACAAATCGTTTATCAAGGAAATCAACACATATTTATAGATTTTCGTGTACATAATTATAGATTATTGTTAGCAGAAAAACACAGTCTCCTGATTGATTGTTTCCCACTGAAAGTTAATCTTTCATCTCTCTGTTTCTTGAATGTCAGACCATCTACTTGCTAACTGTATCCGCCTACGCATAGCCTTTCTTCTCATTTTTCTCACGACCAATATTTGGGACATAAACCTTGACGTAGATTAATGTCTACCAATCTGGCTAGCGTCCAGCTCTCTCCACAGGATAACTTGGTGACTAACTAATATTGAGATTACATGTAGAGTATTAAGTAAGTAAAGAGAGCGAGTGAGTCGGTGAGTTTGTAAAGCTGCATCGATTGAAATGACTAGAATACATGTTACGTATACTAATCCCTAATCTTTCTCATCCAGCAATGTTAACAGATATAGAGTTAGGCTGGGAAAGAGTTACGAGTAATGCCATCGAAACTTGACATCAGTCTATGGAGTATAGGACTGCTGGTTTAAGTCCTGTTGGGAAGTGTAGACTGTTTAACTGCCATCCTTCAGATGCGCAGAACTAATGACTCAAGACGTTTGGCAACATTGCTCAGAATCATCACTAGTGGCCCATATGTATTCGCACCTTTTGAATATCTATACCTCTTATAAATTGTCATTGGTTTTTACTGTGTAAATACTTTTGCTCCTGAAGTTTTCCACTCTTAGTAGTTTCAATATAGAAAGAAGGATAAAATTTGCAATATTAAAAGTGATATCATTCTATTTCCCAGGTTCTCATCAGCTGTGCATTCGTACCTATGTTACAATGGTTCTAAATGATAAAAGTAACATGCTGCAATGTTTGAATGGTAGTAGAGAGAATATTATTAAGTCAACGCATCCAAAATATAAGCATTACAGTTTTTGGTTTAAGTTACCATCAATTTATATGCTTTCATAATAGAAAAAGAAGGTAGGGGTTGGGGAACGGAGAAGATAGAAAACAGAAAAATCTAATAAACAATATTAGCTTGTAAGATCACACAACAATTGAATTGATGTCCGTGGTTGTCTGTATGTAGTGATATGAGGGAGACATGATATCCACTCCCTCGCTCATATCACTACATACAGACAACCACGGACATCAATTCGACTGAGATAACCAACGTTCAGATATTAGACAGAGGAAACAACAAGAATGCTACAGAATTTTTAGAAGCCAACTCGGCATTCCGGTCAATCATCAATCAATAGACACATCGAGACAGACAAAATTTATCAACCGATAAGAGGGAAACCTCACACACAAAGGATCAAAGTTCAAATCAAATAAACTATCAGTTCCAATACAAGTAGCTGCCTAGAAGATGTGAAAATACACAAAAACAACGAATCACGTCCAAGGTGGTCACCAGGAGAGATGATTAATAAACTCGTGGATAAATCTAAAAGCTCACTTCAATGGATTGAAGTAAGAGCTGAAGATGTCACCCAGTAGGGTGATGAAAGCTTCGCAAACTAACTATCCAGCTCAGAGAAAAAAATACATGAAAATCGTCCACCTGAGCTACAAATCTTCTCTATCATACAGTATTTGTTTCCATATAGAAATCTACCTGAAGTATAATTCAAAAAATCACAGATATCTGTGACTTATTCAGCACTCGTCCTCTAGACTAGCATATATCTCTTGAGGATGACTTAGTGTTAGCGAAGAGATACATGTTCACTGGTTTTAGGAGACTAAAGAGATATTTAGATTCAGACTAGAAAATTAGAAAAGTTAGTTTACAAGTTTATCAATTGTATGACATTGAAATGAGATAAGGTTTCTTTTGTATAGATTTCTAACTAACATTCGACATAAAGTAACGACAGAAGAGAAGGGCCAGGCAACAGACCGCTTATTGAGAAAATCAAAAGATTTTTATGCATATTACTGTCAGTGGAGAAGCAACGTCTTCTGATTGGTTGTATTCTTCCTGAAGACTATTCTGCTACTACTTTGTGACCGTTTCTTAGAAAGTTAAGCCATATATCTGCGAATCATATTTGCACACGTTAAGTCTGTTGTAATTAGTCGGTGAGTTCCCCAAGGCTAAGCTTGATTATTGTTTTTTCTCATGACCTCGATTCTAGACGTAACGCTGACGAAAATTACCTTCTGCAATTTTCGGCTTGCACCCAGCTCTCACCACAGAGTTACAAATAACCTGCCAAAGGCAATACGGTTTCGTCTTCTTTCTATCGCTGAAGCTCCGGCCATTCACATAGAAAAACCGGGGCTGTGCATACAAAAGAGAATTACTCAACCACTTCTACTGTCATGGTAACAACTTTGTCGATTTTTGATGACTTCATTTTGTTTGTTTGCCTGTTCTTTAATTGCTTATAATTCTTGTATTCACTTAGATCTCTTACGTATTCTCTCCTCTGTTACTATGTGTATCCTGAGTAAAACTGAATTATCAAACTATTCATATTATTACATAACTTCTTTTTTAACAACTGTTTATGACAACTCATCATTTTTGTTACTACCCTAATTTCATTAACACCTAATTTTCTTGACTGATTTTGTATTACGTAACTCCAATTATCAATCTTCACCTGTTTAGTTAAAATAAACATAGTCAATTGTATTTTTGTTTGACAAACTTAATGTACACATAGATACAAAACAACCATATATATTTGCGATTGTACAGCTAAGGAAATGAATTCGCCGACGAAAAGAGACTCTTCTCTGAACTACGTGTTTTGTTTTCATAAATGCCTCGGTGGAGATTACCCATGAATTAAAACAATAATATTTTTTATTGAGACTGCTTAATATGTCAGAAATTTGACCAACCGTTCAGCGATGGTATAGATGACTCTGAACGGTCAAATCGGAACAAACCATTCTGATTTAAGTGTAGAAAAGCGAAACAGTTGTAGACAAGATACCTTGCTTTGAAGTATCTCAAGAGTAACTATCACTTGTTCGTAGGAGTGTCCATATTCATTCAAATATCTATCGTCTAAGGTCAAGAAGTGGAGTATGGGGTTAGGATTTGATTTGATTTGGCACTTACACAGATGATATCTCCTTGCTAAATCGTTAACTTCACTCCTTATTAATAATAAACTGAATTTATCCGCTACGACTTTATTAATACCTGTGCTAAATTTGATTGGCTGCTTCAAGTTAACTAACTGGGTTAGTCATCCAATTAGATCACAAACTGTTCTTTCACCTTGAGGAACATTTAGTCTAGTGATACGGTTTCATTTAAATAACGCCTGAATGAAAATGTAGAATATTCAAGTGAATTGAAAACTTAGGTTGATGAGAGAGTCCTTCAGTTCAATAGACAGGTATCACAATCACCTGGGTGAATGTCAAAATATAACGAAGGATTTGCTTTTCTTTGACAAGTTAGGGGACTTTTACGAGATAGGGCTGTTAGCCTCATGCATAACACTCCCTCTTTTTCAGGGATACTACAGGCTGGTAAACTAGGAGAGGCCTAGGAGTAAGACAGTGGGGGGTCGAACACCGGAGTTTGTGCGTGGTTCACAAATATTTTAACAATAAACCACTGACGCAACAAGTTTATAAGCTTTTGAAAATTTGAACAGTACGGGTGGCATTGTAATGAAATTAAAAAGTAATGGCACCGACGCCACCTTCTCATGAATTACACACTAACTAATGAAATAAGGACGGTCTAATAATGATATTTAGGTCGCAGGATTCTGTAGATATTAGATTAATCCCGATAGAAAATGGATTTCCACCACGTTTTTCATACACGAGAATATACATTCCAATCCTATGAAACATGACTTATCATCCGAACCCAAGAATATACAGTACATGGGCTTGGATTCCAAGGTGACTTAGCTTCCGATATCATGAAAAGAAGGGCATCGCAATCCCTGAAAAGAAAATTCCCTGCTCCATTGTTGAGAATAACCTTTACCAGTCGACCACTCCTGTTTAATAACCTGAAGGACAAGACCCCGTTGTTGACCAAATCCATGTGCTTTTATCAATTCACCTGCTCGTCTGGAGCTAGGTATGGTATTCGTTCTACTCGAGTTTTGTCCAAGAGAGTGCAAGAACACTATCCTGCATCTTTACGAAGACGTGGAAGTGGAGTGGTAAGAAGGGCAATCATTGAACATCTGGTCGATAATGATTACCGTATCTCTATAGCTTCCGCCTTTAAAGTCATCTACAAGGCAAAAAGTAATTAACCCAAATCACTACGTACCCAACTCATCCGTATTGCTGAAGCTTTGGCTATCAAAACAGAAAAGCCAGATCTCTGTGTACAGAAAAATTTCGTTCAACCATTCTAACTTTCATGGTCTTAATCCCTCTATTCTAAAATATGGTAATCCCCAATCATATTTTGGCTCTACCAATTTTCCATTTTCTTCCTTTATTACACGAGTTCTTACTATTACTACTCTCATTTTGAACTGTCCCCGGTATTATTTCACTTGTCATTCGAAATCAATTTTGTTTTGCGACGGTGAGTTCTATGTCATCAAATGTCACAACATTACGTAACGCTTTTATTCTTATTCGATTTGTCTACCAATCCTATGATTCTACACTCCCTTTCAAGTTCTATACATTCTATGAATTATTCCATATACAATATTGATTGTTTTGCCACTTGACATTGATCTATGATTATAATCACAAACATTTTAGTTTTTGATGTGGTTTTGTTCTCTGAGCTGCTGGATAGTTAGTTTGCGAAGCTTTCATCACCCTACTGGGTGACATCTTCAGCTCTTACTTCAATCCACTGAAGTGAGCTTTTAGATTTATCCACAGGTTTATTAATCATCTCTCCTGGTGACCACCTTGGACGTGATTGGTTGTTTTTGTGTGTTTTCACATCTTCTAGGCAGCTACTTGTATTGGAACTGATAGTTTATTTGATTTGAACTTTGATCCTTTGTGTGTGAGGTTTCCCTCTTATCGGTTGATAAATTTTGTCTGTTTCGATGTGTCTATTGATTGATGATTGACCGGAATGCCGAGTTGGCTTCTAAAAATTCTGTAGCATTCTTGTTGTTTCCTCTGTCTAATATCTGAACGTTGGTTATCTCAGTCGAATTGATGTCCGTGGTTGTCTGTATGTAGTGATATGAGCGAGGGAGTGGATATCATATCTTATGACGGCTAGCTTACGAAGACGAAGGGGACGTCCACTTTGGCCAATGTAGTGATTTTCGCAGTTGTTACAATTTATTTTTTAAATGGTGTTGGTTTTATCTTCTTTCGCTGTTGAGTCTTTTGGTTGACATGGAATTGAGTGAAGCGACTTTGTTGGTTTGTGAACGACGTCAATTCCTAGGGGTTTGAAGAGTCTTGTGGTTATTTCTGAGTTTTCCTTTATATATAGTAAGGCGATTTTCTATGTGCTTTCCTTGGTGGCATTTGTTTTGGTAGGTTGGCTTGGGGGTATATGTCTCTTGATGAAATTACGTGGATATCCATTCTTTTGGAAGACGTCCATGAGATATCTTTCTTCAATTTTCCTTAAGGTGGGAGTGCTGCAATGAGTCCTTGCTCTCTTGAATAGTGTTTGTATGCAGTTCGTTTTGTGTGTTATTGGGTTGTTGCTGTTGTGATTCAGGATTTGGTCTGTGTGAGTTGATTTCCTATAAACTTGAGTTTCTTACTCCCCTGTGGTTGTTCGCTTGACTGAGACGTCCAGAAATGGTATTTTGTTTTCGGATTCCTCTTCTCTTGTGAATTTGATGTCGTTGAAGACGTTGTTTATTAAGTTGTGAGTTTTATCCAACTCGTTTCTTCTGACTATTACAAATGTATCGTCGACGTAGCGTATCGAAATCTTGGGTTTTATCTTTGGTAGAATTATGTTTTCGAGTCTTTGCATCACTGCTTCTGCAATCAAACCTGATATTGGCACTTCAGCTTTAATTGCATTTCATACTACTATTATTATTTTATTTATTCACGCCTATGATCCAATTCCCTCACTGGATATAACTTCTTAAAAACGATATATATACAATTGTACAGCTTGATGATGAATTTGTTGAAGAGAGTCTCTTCAGGGTATCACTTGTTTTGATTTTCTATATGTTGCAATGGAAATTTTGCATGAATTAGACTAATATTCAGGTGGATTTCGTCAAGAAGCAACATCAGTTATAGCGGTCATTGAAAACCGGGAAGTACCAGACAGTTGATTTATCCTAGTGTATTTCTCTCCATCAAGTACACACCCAAGACCCAAAACTTCAGGTTACAAAACCAAGGCACTGGTCGAAAGTAGCGTTATACTAAGAATGGACAAATTTTGAATTCACGAATCACTGAATTCCGGCTCAAGTAGCAGTTAAATGATCATTGAGATTGATCTTGTAACCTGAGGATCCCGGGTTCAATCCTCTGTGGAGTAGTAGTAGGTGGGCAGTGATGAGAAGATCCAGGTTAGGATGAAACAGTTTTCTACTACTCTTTGGTTTGCAATGATCTCCAAATGAAGTTGGTTCTTGTTGAAATCTGCATTGATCTTGTACTGGTTATTTATGGGTTATTTCAAATATCATGACTACTTATTTTTTATTAGTAGTTTATTTGTAAAACGAAAAAGTTACTTTCACAATTTATTCATTTATATACGTATATTTGATACATAACTGCTTATAAGGAAGGAATGTTTTCAGACTTGTAACACTACTGTCGGTTGAATAAGTGGCTGTTCACCTAAAAGTTGTTAATTAGGAAGAAAAATAAACAAAGTAGAAAATACATTTCAGATACTAGTAAAATAGACTAAATGTATTTTTGAAAATGTGTCACAGCCAGTAAATATATATATATATATATATATAAATTGCCTTAAGTGGGTGATCATAGCAGCTTGATACTTCGATGAAGAGTGAACGCTGCGTTTAAAAAGACTTTTCACTCAGCTAAGATCTGAATTATTGAAAATGTGTAGCATTTATCTTGATCTAAGCCCTCAGAATATTTGAAAAATAATGTCACATCCCAGTGCATCGATCAGTTTAAGTGTATATGCGACCACACGCATACCTAAGGGGTATCCATTGATCTCTGCAGACAAGGAAATCTACAGCACACCCCTAAACAGCTTTGGAAGTAAGTTGAATCGCGGATGTTGCTGAAAACATAAATACATGGCATAAGATTCATTTTTACACCTCTTTAAACTTGTCTATATAACATTTTCGGGGGATTATACAAACATTCGTGAAAACCCCATCGATTAAGAAATTTCAACCACCTTTATGTATTCACAGATATTTGGAGATCACATTAAACTATCCTTGGTAAACTTTGTTTTGACGCCCAGATAGGTGTATTATTATCTCACTTCTTTAGTTTATCGATCTGAAGTGTTATTTTGATCGTTAGTATGCCCTTTTAGCTTGATCTAAGTCTATTTTCTCACCTCTTAACTCTCTCTTATTTTCATATATCCTATCGTTACATTTTTGTTGTCTACGCAGGTCTTCTGATGTCACTTGTATATTTAACTGAGTGTAGATGGAACGAATTTCCTGAGAGGCAGTGAAATGTTTACATCTTATATGTTCTTCTAAAATATCCATGTGGTACGTTTGTTTCAGGTTTGATTAGTTCTGTTATTTGAGGCGTTGTCGATAGCTGAAATGGTTTAGAGAACTACTGAGAACTAAACAGCGCTGGACAGCTATTTCTTCTTAGTTTAGGAGAATTTGATAGTGACCGTCAAGATCTCATCAGCGTACGAACCAACCTTCTTTAGATTACTGTTTTTCTGGACAACATCTTCAGTGAGTTTATTTGAATTCTGCTAGTCAATATGACTTCGAAGATATGGAAACATCAAAAATACCAGGGGATCCCTAGAACCCTGATACTTAGATGAATCAGCCATCAAAAGGCACATTGTTATAGATCAAATTTATCAACTAAAAAGAACAGGTAATATCACATAAAGAATAATCAAAATTCAAGTCTATTAAAAGCGATCAATACTGTTGAAAATTAACAACCAATCACAAAAAAGTCAGTTAAGAGATACAATTATATTATTCATAGAGAAGGCGTTCAAATAAGTCCACTTCATACTGAAGTTTATGCTGAAGGTGTCAAAAAACTATCGTTATCGAAGACTAGCTTGTGGATTTGGGATACAACTGAGCTGCCACTTAATGATATTTCTCAGCGTCTGTCTTCATATCTGATCTTGTTAGTGACTAAAAGAATTTCTCAGATTCTAATTGGAATTTGTAATCGATGAAGTCCATTGAGTACAAAACATGTTGTGCGGAAATATCACAATTTTGTCTGTAATTAAAAGCGCATTCTTATTGATTGATGGTGTATTATTGGCTTTATTTACAGGCTCCGAAAAATCTGAAACAAGAGTGTGTTGTTCCAAACGGAAAAGCAACTTTCTACAACCCTAACATTGTCATCTAAGGCTGGACTAATTAGTGTACTAGACGTAATTTTATATTCCAAATGTCATCTATTGAAAATGTGATCAATTGTCAAGATCAGTATCACAGTGCTCAAGTTTTTGTATCTGTTCTCCTATTCAAAATTATCAAGCATATTAATTATGCGGAAAATTACATCAGAATGAAGTCAAAAGAAGTTACAGGGACAAATTCAGATTGCCTGATTGAGTTGCAGACTAGACCTTTTCATAAATGTGGGACAGTTCATGTTGATATACCTCACGTAACACAAAAAGTTAACGAAAAGTGAGAAAGAAGAAATTCAGAATAACTATAATGATCAGATTTTTACAATAAGAAAAATAGTTACAAGGGAAAACATAAAGATTTAATGGGTCTTGGACATTGTTAAGACTGTATGTATCTGCACCATCACAGATGGTGCGACATCAACTCTTAAAGGTTTGAAGAGTCTTGCTGTGATCTCTGAGATATCTTTTATGTGTGGTAAAACGAATCTCTTTGTGATTTTCTCGTGGGTAGGGGCCTTTGATTTGGTGGGTTGGCTTGGAGGTATATGTTTTTTGATGAAATTCCGTGGATATCCATTCTTTTGGAAGACGTCCATGAGATATCTTTCTTCAATTTTCCTTAAGGTGGGAGTGCTGCAATGAGTCCTTGCTCTCTTGAATAGTGTTTGTATGCAGTTCGTTTTGTGTGTTATTGGGTTGTTGCTGTTGTGATTCAGGATTTGGTCTGTGTGAGTTGATTTCCTATAAACTTGAGTTTCTTACTCCCCTGTGGTTGTTCGCTTGACTGAGACGTCCAGAAATGGTATTTTGTTTTCGGATTCCTCTTCTCTTGTGAATTTGATGTCGTTGAAGACGTTGTTTATTAAGTTGTGAGTTTAATCTAATTCGTTTATTTTAATTATCACGAAGGTGTCATCTTGCCTAGTGGACTGACTAGCCGAAGATAAGCTCAGAGAAATGAAGAGAACATTTAGTGTAAGACTATCCACTGCACTCCTGAAAAAAGAAACCATTGCCTTTGACATATCAAGAGGTCGCAACCCTGTGTTTCAGCCAGAATGCAAGGAAAGATAAAGAAATTAATTGAGTTTCAGATTTTCCCGTCGATTGTTTGGACCGAAGTGCTTGGTCTCAGGTTGGCATGTCGACTTCTTGTGCAGATGCTTAGACGATGTTTGGAAAATCCGTATCCTGGATTCCACTGCTAGTCACCATCCACCAAATAACTGCTTATTACATGCCAAGACATCGTCGACGCATCTGCACAAGAAGCCGACATGTCAACCTGAGATCGAGCACTTCGGTTCAATCAATCGACGGGAAAATCTAAAACTCAATTAAATAATTATTATGACCTGTTGCACAAGAGGTAGCTCTCGTGGCCCAAGTGGTCTAGTGGATAACGCTATAACTATGGGCACTGGGTTCGAACCTCGGTAGGAACATCATCACTCACTGGAGAATGCAGGTACATCCATCTGACGAGTCCCAAATAGGACGAAACGCGCTTTCTGGATTGCACTGGTAGTCACCATTCAACAGTTAATGATTAAGAATGTAATGGAACACTATATTTGATTAATTGATATGAAATCATACACACCCACCAGAATTTATTCAGAAGAACACTATTCCATGGTCATAGAAGTTTAAAAAGAATGCTTAATATAACTCACATGTTGAATAATCTAAATGAACCATACGATTAACTGTTGTATTCTGAGTTGATTGTACTATGACGCCAATTTTAAATATTTTACTTGATTCAAGACAACTTATATCGAAGTGATTATGTAATGTTTCATATTCTAAACGTTTACTGTCTGATTCAACGAAAGCATACGTTTTATAAGGGCATACTAATTTGTTATTAGCTGTATTCAATGTCCAATTTAAATGAACTGTTCGAGCATTAGTATCATCTGGTGTTGTAATACGTAAATTTTGAACTTCAGGAAGATATTCAGCTGAAAATAGATTGGAAACAGAAAAACAACAAAGAAATTAGATTGAATGCTGAATTATTATTATTATTATTATTATTATTATATAAGCTTTATTCCAAATCAGTACTTGTGATACAGAATGGAATTCTCAGCATTTTTTTACTACAATATTGCATCCAGTTTTTACATTAACAATAAATAAAGTTCTACATAGATTATAGATTATCTCAACAACATATTAGTATGTCGGTAGCAAAGCCAAAATTAAAATTAGATTTATAAGTGTGGTGTATGTGGTTTTCAAAACACTTGTGGATAAGAAAATCATTAGTTGTGACTAACCAACTCTGGAACTCGACTTTTAACAGTTTTCATTCCTTATCCCCATTTGTTCAAAGAATAGTAGGATTTTCCAAATGTCTGGAGAAGGTGTTGGTTCATCCTTGTGACTTGTATTCTGTCAGTTGATTCGACAAATAAGACTTCATATTAGAAAATCAAAACCAGTGATTCAGCGAAGAGACTATTTTCAACGAATTTATTATCAAGCTGTACAATCGTATATATATGGTTATTTTGAGAAGTTATATCCGGTGAGGGAATTAAGGTCACAGGTGTGAATACATGAAATAATAATAGTTATCCAGAAAACTTCATCAGTTGTCACGGTAAGGATAGACAACATCTTGAAAAGACAGCTTCGGTACCAAAGAAAGCTATCTTTAATAACCTACCACTCAAGCACGACCAGATTATGCAGTTGACAGCTCAAAGACTTCGGTCAGCCATCAAGTGCACATTCTACACCGCCACATCTCTTTTTCTCATTTGCCAAACATTTTCAATCCCTGTACGTATCTGCGAATAAAGGACGAAATTCTGTGGAGTCTACTTCAAACTGTATCTACAAGTTCACCTGCAGTTGTTGCGGTGACACCTATACAGGTGTAGAACCAACAGAATGTTCCAATGTCGTAGTTGAAAAGAACATGTTCCAAAATGGCTACTATATCATGTAAAAAATCTCAATGTGCATAATCTGAATAGAAATCCAGCATCATCCATTGTAAAACACTGATTAATGTCAGGTCACAAAATCAATAGTAATGACTGTTTCACAATTATTTCACATAACTCTAATCCAAGGTTATTGAAGGTGATGGAAACACTTTGGGGGATTAATCACACACAGCCTAAACTGTGTGTACAAAAATCAATAGACTTCAATCTTCGCCTACCCTGGACTGCATGACCTATCTTAATATGATTGGTCATTAGTATGTACTTTTGTTTTTTATTTAACTGAGTAACTGTGATGAACTTCATTTTATCATTGTTATCCGTGTTAGTTTTAAATCGGTTTTAAAGAAACTACGAAATGACGATATCATCTCGCGAAATTTGTCTTCTTAATGCCTTATTAAAATATTTGTGATTATAATCATAGTTAAATGTCAAGTGGTAAAACAATCAATATTGTATATATAATAATTCATAGGATGGATAGAAATTGGAAGGGGGTGTAAAGTTATGGGATTAATAGACGAATCGAATAAGAATAAAAGCATTACGTAACATTGTGTGACATCTGATGACATAGAATAAACGTAGCAAAACAAAATTGATTTAAAATGACAAGTGAAACAAGTGAAATAATACCGGGGACACTTCAAAGTGAGAATAGTAAAACCAACTAGCAATTGACGTAATAAAGGAAGAGAATACAAACTGAATAAGATTTGATTGTGTGAAATATTCCCATATTATGAATTAAAAGTCAATCTGAACGAAGAATATTCTTTTCAATAATTTCTCCTCTTCAGGTTCTTACAATTATAAAATATCATATTTGTGGTCGTTACAATAAAGGCCAGTTAGGCGGCGGATACATTTTTAACGTAGAATAACAGATTAGCTATGGGGTGTCAAAATAAATAGTCGTCTTTGTGTGACAAACGTGCTAGGCTGAAATCGACTAGAAAATATTGTAAAACGGGAGACAATGCTGGTGATGAATCATAATAGATTTGTAGAGTGTGGGGTAGGAAAATTGAAAAGTCAGTTCAAGGTTATAAAAGATGTCAGGTGAATGGAGTGGCTAGTACAAAGTGGTCTGAGTTAAACAGGAGATAGTAAGACTGCAATGAGAGGTACATAGTGAGATAACGAATATGTTAGATGAAACGGGCGGAGGCATATATTGACAAAACAGAATTCACGAGCCATTGAATCGGGTCCCAGTGGCTGAATGGTATACGAGCTTGCCTTGTAACCGGAAGGTCCTGGGTTCGAAACCCAGTGGGTGCGTACTGCCGATGATTCCCAAACTGGGATGAAACAGCAGCTGTCCAGTACTCCCTGGTTTTCAATGGTTCTCTAACTGATATCAATCCGTGATCAACTCGTAAAACAGATAATATCAATATATGCCTCCACCTGTTTCATATAACATAGTCGTTATCTCACTATTTACCTCTCATTGCAGTCTTACTATTTCCTGTTTAACACAGACCACTTTGTACTAGCCACTCACCTGACATTTAACTATGATTAAAATCGCAAACGTTTTAGTTTTTAATTGCATTTCATACTACGATTATCATTATTTTATGCATTCACACCTAAGATTCAATTCCCTCACCGGATATAACTTCTTAAAAACCATATATATACGATTGTACAGCTTGATGATAAATTCGTTGAAAAGAGTCTCTTCGCTAAATTACTTGTCTTGATTTTCTTTATGTTACCATGGGAATTTTCCATGAGTTAAATAAGACTTCAGTTGTTAAGCGATGTAATGACCGTTAGTGACCAGTCTCTCTTTCTATCAGCTTACTTTAGATGCTATAGCTGAGCTGTTTTTCTAGGCTTTTTATCTTATAAGAGTCAGCTAATCTAGATTTTCCTAGGATTTTGTGTTCTGCCTCTAATCTGGTACGCCCCGACCTAGTACTCTGATCTATGTATTTGACTTCATAATCATTGTCGGGGTAGTCGATAGGCTAAATTATTTTGTCTAGTGGACTTCACAGGATACTTTGACTGGTATAATTTTTTTTTCAAGTAACTTTGTAAGTTCGAATACCACTTTTATTCCCACCTTGTTGAGAAGTCTACTTAAGGTTTGAGTGATTCCCTGTTTGTATAGTGGCACTACTGATGTTTTAACTTCTTTATTCATAGTGTTATTATTTTTCTGTGTATTTTGGTTATTCATGGTATCCTTATTATTCGTGTTATTTCTATCCTTTTAAGTTCCTATATAATTCCTGATTAATATATCAGGCTGTAGAACTAAAGTGGGGAAAGACGAGTGGAGCATGCGCCTGGCGGTGACATACAGGAGATCCTGCAAGGAGGAGATGAAAGATTATGGTCAGTTGTTGACCCAGATGAAGAGGACATCAGAAAATAGAACAAAGTGGTAATGTATCGCTGAAGTCCTACACTCCACTCGGAACGATCTGTGTTCAGTCTCCTTTTCTACCATGATCCTAAAATTTTTCCGGCTTGTTTGTCTGTATTTTTAGTACGTTATTCACCGTTAAGACTCCTGTATATCCTTTAGGTGCATTTTACTAGCACTCTTTTCCTCCTCACCTTGAAGATTGATATGGGAACAGCCAGTCACCTTGCGCTTCTAATTAAGTAACAATTTTCACCTTATCAAATTTCAAACGCTTACTTCCATTGTGTCACTAACTAATATGTAATTCTTTTCTATGCTATTACGCAATTAACACTTGAATATCAATGAGATGTTAACTGGCGACTTGCCCTATTCAGGAAGGTAGTTACCTGGGGTTGTATTGAGAAGTCGTGACCAGTGGGGTGCAGCAGGTCGCGTGTGAGGACAAATACTCGCCGAAGAAATTCGCTAAGTGTCGCGCTATGTCGTGAATTGGCAGAATTTAGAATTCATGGGCCATTTGATCGGGTCCCGGTGGCTTAATGGTATACGAGCTGGCCTTGTAACCTGAAGGTCTTGGGTTCGAATCCCGGTGGGTGCGTGCTGCTGAAGAGTCCCAAACTAGGCTGACGAAACAGCTGTCCAGTAATCCCGGGTGTTTCAGTGGTTCTTTAATTAATGTCAGCTCGTGATGAAATCCTGTATCCAATTTCTTTGTGACTTTAAAGACCATTTCTGTCTAACGTATAAATTATCCCACGCACGCACTCCCTATTACTCAGTAACAGACTGTGACACGTCTTAATAAATATAAGCACGACTGTGCAACTTATGAAGATAACTTCATCAATAAAGAAAATCTTCTTCGCTTAGTCGTCTTTTATTTCCTTTATGACTCGTTGGGTGTTTTTGGTCATATTTAAGTTGGTATCATATTTTCGCCTTCTCCATTTTCATTTGGCATTCTAAGTCCCTGTGTAAAGGTCCTCATTTTGGATATACGGCTACGCATTTCCTAAAATAAATTTACATTTCTGATCCTAACGTAATCAAAGCCGATATATGGCCATGTAAACTATTTATATCTACTGAACGTTCCAGAATTTTCAACTATGCAAAAAGAGTTTAATTTGGTTTTTGGTTTTCCCGTCAATTGATTGAACTGAAGTGCTCGATCTCAGGTCGGCATGTCGGCTTCTTGTAAAGATGCTTCGACGATATCTGGGCATTTAATTAGTATTTAATTGGTGGATGGTGACTAGCAGTGCAATCCAGCTTGACGCTCATTTCATCCTATTTGGTGCTCGTCATCTGGATGTACCTGTATTTCTCAGTGAGTGATGATGTTCCCACCGTAGCTCGAACCCAGTGCCCATAGTTTCAAACGCTAGAGCGTTATCCACTAGACCACTTGGGCCATGAGAGCCGACATGTCAACCTGAGACCGAGCGCTTCAGTCCGATCAATCGACGGGAAAATCAAAAATTAAATTAATATGACCCGTTGCACAAGACGTGGCTCTCATGACCCAAGTGGTCTAGTGGATAACGCTCTGGCGTTTGGAACTATGGGCACTGGGTTCCAGCCTCGGTGGAAGCATCATCACTCACTGAGAAATACAGGTACATCCAGATGACGAGCACCGAATGAAGCTGGATTGCACTGCTAGTCAGCATCCACCAATTATATGCAAAAAGAGTTTATTCATATTTGACGGATGTTTAGACTGAAGTTATTGGCTTCCTTTAGGTAAAATACCTCTTTGAACTGACGTCTTGGTGTCATCAGGAATCAATGACTGAAAGTAACTTACTTGACTCCAGCTAGCAGAAGAATTCACAGTGCTTCCTATCATACCATCACTGACTGTGGGGGTGGGGATTGGCTGAAACGCAACTCTGGAGTACTGCTATTAAGCCCCCCCCCTTCATTAAGGAGTGAATTAATGTGAAAAAACTTTTATCATATATGTCATGAAAATTCAACTCACGTTTTATCATAAAATTAGTTTGTTGAGTTTGTTTTTGAAGTCCAAACACTTTGTAGGTTATTGTTTGTGCACAAGTACTCAGGGGAATTTCAAAGGTATCAGTTAATTTCTCTGAACGAAATGTATATCCAGAATCTGTACGAATTAATTTAGTTCTAATGTTAAATTTTGTTGATTCATGTTTTGGTAAAAGCAGCATTTTATTATCAGTGATATTAATTTTGAATTCCATGGGGATCCATGTTCCATTGATGGCTATATCAAGCAAAATATTGAACAATGGTCAATTAAATGAGGGCGACGGTGAAAGGGTAGCGGAGAGAACAAAAATAAATTAATCTGAGTTACTGAAACTTACATACTAATGAAGGTGACTACATAAAACGTATTTAGTGCTAATATAAAATTTATTAATATAGCAGTATCATAATTACTACCACTTGCATCGGCACAGTAGTTGACTGACAACAAGATCAAAGTAATCTAAAAACCAGAAGGCTATATCGCTTGTTTTAGACCCAGCACGTGACCTTAGAGAGATGAATCATGTCAAACCACTGAAATGCTGGCTGACTTCTCGGTTGTCAGATCATAATATATGATCCTCTTAATATTATAAACAGTAAACATGAGGACAAGGACAAACTCTCGCATATGACCAATTCGGTGTGCATATACCAGTTCACCTGCTCATGCGGAGCTAGGTACATAGGTCGTTGTATGCGCGTCCTTTCGAAACGTGTTAGAGAACATTACCCAACGTGGCTACAAAGAGGAGGCATCGGTTCAATCAGAAGTGCGATTATTGCACATCTGATCAACACTTCCCACAACATCTCAACTGATTCTTTCAAAGTAATTTACAAAGTCAACAGAAACCTACCAAAAGCAGTATGTTTCCGACTCCTCATTACTGCAGAAGCCCTCGCAATATGCATTGAGAAGCCGGAACTGTGTGTTCAAAAAAAAAAATTAGTCCAACCTCTACAACTACCATGGATATAGTTCGGTATGTTCCCTTTGCTTCCGTTTTTTCCTTCTTTCATTCGCTGTGTGTGATTCCTACTCCCTCTGTCTTCATTCGATTCACCCAATTTTTTCAGTTATAAAAACAGTTATTTTAAGTTTGTTTCCATGCTTTTGCCGTTCGCACTTATAATTCGTTTAAAATAACTATTTTGAAATTATATCTTAATCCTGTGCAATTTTTGTGTTTCTAAGGCTCTTGTAATCTGTATTCGCACCTCGTAACTCCTGTCTCCATGCTCATTTTTACACACTTGTTATCCGTTCTAATCCTGTGTAATTTTATTTCTAGGTCTCTCGTGAACCATATCTAGTTGAAAATAATTGCCACCTTTTATTCGCCGTTGTAATTATATGGAATCAAACAAGAGTTGTTTCTATGTAAAATTATGTATTTAAATGCAATTGTACGGTTTTTGAAAGTGAAATCGCCGAAAAGATAGTTGTCTTTGATGAACTTCGTGTTGTTGTTTTCTTTCTAATGTCCATATGGGTGTTTTCCACGAACATGAGAACTACGGTGTAATCAAGAAAGTATATGCTTATAATTTATGGGAGCTATCAAGACATTAAGACATTTGTAATAAGAATTGTGATTTGAAAAACCTACTTTAAATCTTCAATAACATCTACCCAAACATCAACTTTACACTGGAGACTGAATCTCATGGAATGTTCCACTTCCTAGACGTCCATCTGACAAGAAACGTTAAAAACTCTCTGAAAAGGTCCATATACAAAAAGCCTACATGGAATGGACAATTCATCAACTTTCAAAGCTTCGTGCCCCTAAGCAGAAAGAGGAACTTGATATACGCTCTTTCCTCGAGGATTCGGAATATATGCAGCGAGGAAGTGGTTGAATAAGAACTGCGTAATCTTCAAAAAACCCTGATGGAAAACGGTTTCCCACCCGGGTTCATAGACATGAATCTCAAATCTAAGAAGACTTCCGTTCCAAAGAAAATACTTCTGCTTAATCTAGAACTCAGAGGTAATATTGAAGCAGAAATCCTTCATAAGCGCCTCTCCAAATCGATGAGGAAAACATACTTCGCCGCCAGCCTACGACTGACGTTTTCCTGCAAAAAACTGTTCAGCCAGAATGCCAAAGACAAGCTGTCGCATCGGGCCACCTCAACGTGTATATACCAGTTTACTTGCTCTTGTGGAGCTGAGTAAGTTGGACGTCCTATGCGCCGACTTGAAAAACGCGCTCGTGAACACTACCCAGCCTGGTTAGTAAAAGGAGACCAAAAGCGTGTGTATGCAGTTCAGTGACAAAACATCTGGTCAATTCAGGACATTCAGCGCCTTTCGAAAAATCCTTCAAAGTAATTTACAAGATTCAATCAAACCTATCAAAGGGAGTGAAATCAATACATCTAGGCATAGCCAAGGCACCAGCTATCCAAAAGCTCAAACCCATGCTAAGTATCCAAAAGATATACGTTCAACCGCTGTCCCTGCCATGGCCATCATAAACAGGTAAATTGTGTTTTAGTAATGACCAACCCATCGCCTTTCTTATCTAGACTTCCTGTTTATTCATGTTATTTTTTAAGTTTTTCTTAATCCCTGTTTACACTACCATATTTTCATACCCGAACTTCGTGTTTATTTTGTCATTTTACTATTTCTACCAATTTAATCCCTGATTGTATAAACAATTATTCATCACATTAGTTTTTTTATCCAAACATCCTGTCTATTTTGTTATTTCTACATTTCTAACCCCATAATTGCACAATGTCAATCTTCTTAGTTATTATGATGGTACTTTGTTTGAGTTTTATCCATCTCCCTGTTTATTATAGCGATCTAATTCCTAATTTTAATTTTTATTAATTTTACCCTTAACCGGATACTATTCTGGAACTTTCCCATCCATTTGATGAATGTACAGCTATCTAGAGGATGACTTCATCGAAAAGAAAATTTTCTTCGCTGCAATTGCCTTCCTAATAACTCCTATGACTCAATGTGTATATTCCGTGACATTAAGAAATCTAAACATAAAGCACTTATATCAATGAAACAGTGATGATTGTAAAGCGCAAACGCAAAATGACTGTGATCCCCAAACTAATCTATAAATATTGTGCTTTTGTCTTAAGTGTATGAGTTACAACGTTAAGAAAGGCATTTCTAACCTCCTGCTTCAGACGTTCAACAACAGATTCCTTCTATATCCTCACAATGAAGATCAAATGAGATGGAGGTTGCGAGAGAGGGGAGTGAATAGTGAACCTGCTAAAATAACCTACTGTCCAACCAAAAGAAATGTAGATAGATTGAACATAGGTTGAGAAGCCCTTAAAGTTAAATGAGACACAACCATCCCCCAAGTGATGGTTAAAATGAAATCGGTAGGATGTGCATAAATCTGAGGATGACTTGGAGAAGATTATGGACAGTCGTGAAGCTAGTTAGAGATAATGTCAGACAACGGAGTTCAATGGAGATATGACGATGAAACTGTATATTCCACTCGAAAAATAAGCACTTAAGTTAAAACGTAATCAGTTGACAATGAAGATGGTTTATTATGAAATCTCAATAAACAAGAAATAAAATCTTATCAGAATTGCATGGTTTCAAATTAACTTACGCGGTAAAATTTGAATCATGAATAAGTTGTATAAAACAAAGCAGCATATTAAATATTTTATCATTACAAATTCTAAATTTTGACTATCAGTAAAGAAAAATTTTCTTCTACGTTACTTAAGTAACATATTTTGGATGTATTTATACATCTATATACATGTTCGCTAATATGTGAGTACTACAAAGATGATTGACTTGTATGTAAGCTGTGAAGACGATAAAAAGTTAAGAAAGCCATCTTGTCTTCTTCTGTTTGTGTGCCTGTATGTGTGCATGAGTGTGCATGACACTTTTTTGTAGGTAATTCGGAATGTTGATTAATTTATCTATTTTCATAGGTATGAATTAATACTGTGATTATTATAAAGTCACCTAATTAGTTTAACTTTTATTCACGTAATAAAAACACCAAAATTTCATACAATTTAAAATTTGAAGATAAAAAGAAACGGAAAAAGATGTACGACGTGTAAATATTTTTCTATGGCAACTTCTACTGTATTGATTTTTCAAAAAAAAATACAGTCAATTAAAAGAATTAGTCCCTTTGATAAATTTGAATATGGCATTAAGAAGACAAATTTCGCGAGATGATGGCATCATTTCGTAGTTTCTTTACAACCGCTTTACAACTAACATGGTTAACAATGATAAAATAAAGTTCATGAAAATTACTCAGTTAAATAAAAAGAACAAAAGTACATACTAATGACCAATCATCACATTTAAATAGGTCATGTTGTCTATACATTATAAATTATTTAAATTAATCCCAGCATGTTAAGAAAATCAAAACAAGATTTTTCTGAACGTTTCGCCGTGTAAGCCACAGCTCTCGGCGCTCAAATTATTCCAGGAAGTTCGTAACACCTACGGTCTAGAAACCTATAATCATGTTGTCCATAGTAGGCGAAGATTGAAGTCTATTGATTTTTGTACACACAGTTTAGGCTGTATGTGCTTAATCCCCCAAAGTGCTTCCATCACCTTCAATAACCTTGAATTAGAGTTATGTGAAATAATTGGGAAACAGTCATTAATATTGATTGATTTTGTGACCTGAACTTAAACAGTGTTTTACAATGGATGATGCTGGATTTCTATTCAGATTAATCTCGTTTGGATTTTCTACATGATTTAGTGGCCAATTTGGAACGTGTTCTTTTCAACCACGACATTGGAACATTCTGTTGGTTCTGCCCATATAAATGTCACCGCAGCTGCAGGTAAACTTGTAGATACAGTTTGAAGTAGAGTCCACAGAATTTCGTCCTTTATTCGTAGGTACGTACAGGGATTGAAAATGTTTGGCAAGTGAGAAAAAGAGATGTGGCGGTGTAGAATGTGCGTTTGATGGCTGACTGAAGTCTATGAGCTGTCAACTGCCTAATCTGGTCGTGCTTGAGTGGTAGGTTATTAAAGATAGCTTTCTTTGGTACCGAAGATGTCTTTTCGAGGTGTGCTTTTTCCTTACTGTGACTCAGTCAGTCAGTTAGTTATTTTTTTTTTGATTTACAGCTTGATTCCACGCCGTATTTTTGGTACAAGTATGGAATTTTCAGCATGGATATCGGTAGCCTAAATTTTGCAGGCCGACCATAGATATCAGGTGTGCGCCGGCGTGGGCTCGAACCCCGGACCATGTGCATGGTCGGCGAGAGTCCTAACCACTGTGCCACCGACGCACAAAATCATGCCCCAGGTGAGACAGAGAACAGAATATTCACTGAAGTGACTGCTTTGATCGATTTTACTATCATGCTGTACAATCGTATATGTATATATTGTTTTTTTAGAAAATTATATCAGTTGAGGAAATTAGATCAAAGGTGTGAATACATGAAATAATAATAGCTGGATGATTTGCAATTAAAATTTTGTAGTGTTATTATCATGGTTAAATGTCAAGTGGCAAAAAAAATTAATTTCATATACAAAATAATTAATAGGATGTGTAGACGTTGGAAGGGGGTGTATAATTATAGGATTAGTAGGCTAGTATAAAACATTACATAACATCGTATGGAATTCGATAAGACAATGTAAAAATTTTGGATTTTGAATGACAAGTGGGACAAGCGGAAACAATTCAAAGTGAGAATAGCAATACTAATAATAATAATCGCAGTAATCAGACTGAGGTACATAGATTAACCAAATAAACAAAATAAATAAATGCCTATCCCTCTATGGCCAAGGCAGAAGCAGACATTGTACATACTTCTCTTTTACATAAAGGTCTAGCTTAAAGTCATGAATTCCCAAGGCCTCCACTGTCTATAGAAGTCTGTAACGAAGAAAACTTGACAAGTTAGCATAGATTCGACAGATGATCTTAAAATCATGGTTAGGGTTGTTGTGGAATGACAGAAGTCGATCACGTGTTCTAGAATAGAGCTTTGCACACACTCTCTTTCTCCCCTGTAAAACCATACTGGAATATGTTCTCGTATCCTTGTGAAAAGCATCCTCTGGCTACGGTCAATGTACCTTGCTCCACAAAAGCAGGTGAACTGATAGATGCACATGGAGGTGGCCAGACGCGGGAGCTTATCTTTTACAAAGGTGGAGAACAAATTGCGGCTGGTAAATGTCATTTGTAATTTTGCTGTTAAGAACATCTTACTGACTGCTTTAGAGAGTCGGTTTTTTAACATGTTTAAAAATCTTGATCACTTTTGAATTCCAAGTTCATAAATAAGATTTTCTTTGGAATTGAGTCAGAGACCTATTTGGACTGCTCATCTTTCGTGTTTTTGTCAATAAATCGATTCTCGTAACCGTTTTCTGCTAGCATTGCTTTTAGGAAGACAAGTTCTGAGTCAGCGTAGTCAGAACTATAAATGTTTCTTATCTTATAGCAGAGCGAGTTGATTAGCTTCCTTATCCTGGAGAAAGGCGCTTAACTATATAACTTTGTTACCCGTCCATTCCATATACGTTTCCAATGGATGGATCTTTTGAAAGATCTATCATTACATCTACTGATGCACACATCATGAAAGGGAATGCTCCGTTCAGATTCCTTTTCTATGGTGAATTGCAAAGTGGGAGGGCAGCTGTTGACCTCGGCGGCCTGCTTAAATCTTGGGCTACTAAATACCTTGAACATTACAAATCATATTGCATCTAATTTCTCACTTCCAGTTCATTTTAAATTACTAAATCTTATTCAATTATGACCTTTCATCGGATTATTTATTCTCGCGACTATTTATTATCTTTAAAACCTATTGATCTGCAATTTCATAAAAAAAGACAAAAGAAGCACCATGTCGGGTGGGAAAGAGCCCCTATTCAATGCATGACTGTTCCCGCAATTATGAGTACTAATTGTCGCTCCCTGCCAGCTAAAATTAACTGTCTTCAATCACTTGTGTCTTCCATTATATATCGTAATACTGGGATCATATCACTTCAAGAAACATGGCTACATGATCTATATGATGACAATCTAGTGTATCTGAATGATTTCAAATTATTCAGACAAGATCGGTGTAGTTCTAGGAAGAAAAGCGGTGGTGGTGTCGCCATCTTCATCAATTCACAATGGTGTACGTTTAATAATGTATGTTTCAAATTCTCTAGTGACAATATTGACTGTCTCACCGTTAAGTGTCGACCTAAACATTTGTCAAAATACAACTACATTTACATCTCGAACATGTATATTGCTCCTGGATGCAATTCCACAGAACTGTCTTTATTTGTGGATGAATTTACCTCCCTTGCTGCCACCTCCTTCGGAAATTCCTTGTCTATAGTTACTGGAGATTTTAATTCTAGTGATCACAGCTTCCTAATTTCACTTGGACACGATAACATTGTCAACTTCCCGACTAGAATGGGTAACACTCTTGATCTTGTGTTTACAAATGACACAGGAATATTTGAAGCTCGAAAAAGAGCCCCACTACTAAATTCAGATCACTGTATCATAAGAATATTGCCCAAAGTATATGGAAAGCAGCAAAATTGGAAAGAAAACACAACACAGATGTTATTCCCATGACAACATACTGAATCTAAGGTCCATGTTAAAAGACACAAACTGGGATTATTTACTGAACAAGCTCTTGATAACACAATTATCAACATAACACATTATCTTAATTTTTGTCTTGATGTTTGTTGTCCAAAAGAGACAATCTTCTTAAAATTCGACCGCTTCTCCCCTTCTCAACTCAAAAAGCTCCGCCGTGGAAAAGAAAGGTTGTTCAAAATGAAAAATAAATCTGGTGTTAAGAGAATGAACACTTTGATTAAGCTTGAATTACAAAGATTGAATGCTCTCTATAACCAGAAGTTTCTTTCATGTAAATCCCCATCTAATATGTGGAAGTTATTAAAGGAAATCACAGGTGGTAAGCAAATGATGAATGATATTTCTGTAGATGTTAACATGCTTAATGAATCCTTCATATGTATCCCAGCAAATGTTATGATTCCTAACTCAAATAGTGTAAATAATGACTGCTTCTCATGCTTTAACACGAATGATGTCCTCAAGTGTCTTCAATCTCTCAAACCTACTCAGTCCCTTGTTCCTGATGGTGTTCCTGCTGTTATCCTTAAGAAGTGTGCCGACATCTTGTGTTCCCCTTTAACTGACATTTTCAACGAATCGTTTTCCAAAAGTATTATACCTGAATCATGGAAAAATATCAAGATTGTTCCAGTGCCTAAATCAATAAGTGGACCTAATGTTAAGTTTAGACCCATTGCTATTACCTCACCTTTTTGAAAGTTATGGAAAGACTTATTTTACTTAATCTTGAACCCTCTTTAAAGCCTTTCAACGACCCCAACCAGTTTGCTTATAAACATAGTAGGTGTACGTTAGATGCCGCTGTTGTCCTACATCATAGTATAGTCTCTAGTTTAGATAAAGGAGCTAAATACGTTCGCTGTGCCTTCCTTGATTACACATCTGCATTTGACTCTGTTCCCAGGTCTCTCTTGCTAAGTAAGCTTGCTGCAACACAGGCTGAGAGCTGGACAAATAAGTGGTTGCATTCCTATTTTTCTGATAGGAAGCAGTACACCGTCTACAATGGAAAGTCCTCCACTACCTCACTTACTTTAGCTGGTGTTCCTCAAGGTGCT